ATCGGCCGGATAGTCTCCCCGATGCTCACCACACCTCTGAAGCTAAGATCTGCCTACGCCAGAGCCTCTGCGGCGGCCTGCAAAGAGGCGTGTCCGGTCAAATTAACCTCCCTCGAATGCTCCTCTACGCGCCATCAGCTCGCCGAAGGCGACAACTACCCGGAGCACAGGACATCAACGACCAAGGAACGATTGGCTATGAAGGGCCTGGCGCATAGCGTATCCAACCCGTTCACCATGGGCATCGCAAATTGCTCGGAAGGCTCGCCCAGCCTCTACTTGCTGTCAGAACGAGCGATAGCCCCGTCTTCACCCCTTGCAGCTTGGACCCGCTACCGTTCCTCTGCCTGCCCAAATATCACACACCCCGTTCCGCAAACGCGGAAATCATGATAGAATGTTCTACAAAGTTAGGAATGATGGCATCCAAAGCAAGAGTCGGGATGATATGAAAAGTGGAGACGCGCCATTCTGGACGGCATAAAACTCAAGCATGATAGCTACCGCAAGATCGGCACGCATGAAATCGGAAGACTTCCCTACCAACATAACCAAAGTCTCGGACGCGATACGCTCCGACGCTCGCGCCACGCAGCCACGATCTGTCGCTCGGAGCAGAGGTCATGTAGCACAGACGGCAGCAGCGTGTGCGAGAAGGACAGCGCTACCGAGCTGAGGAGCTAATGGCAGATCGTGAGCAGATGCGGCTAGCGAACGGCGTGGAAGGTTCGCCACGCCATCGCCGCTGACGAGCGTCGCCACTAAAGCTCGGCAGGTTGCGGAAGGTGGGAGGCACGCGCCAGTGCTCCGCATCCACGCACTCGCATTAGCCGCTCTTGACATCGAAGCCGCCATGCACGGGACGCGGCAGCTCTAGGAGTAATGGCAGTGATGAGCCTGCGACCGCGTATACAAGCTTCAACGCTTCGCCTGCGACGAGCGCGCTGAGTTGCGTCCAGCAGGCATCACACAACACAGCGGACAATCGGAATAACGGCGTGGACTACGCATACCGCGGAGACTGGTTCCTGCGGTACTCTGCGCGTCGCAAAGAGGCAATGTCAGCCGCGTCGTTCGCTGCTGCACTCCCGTCCACTATCGGCGATCGTGTCGAAGCTGGCCAGGTTCGACCCAGCTTAGACGAGTGTTTACTCTCCTGCAGGCGCCTATGATGATCGCTCGTAACCCGAACGCATCGCATTGTCTGATCGTCTCGCCAAGCCTAAGTTGTAGCGATCAGGGGATTACGCTCCTCGTCAAGCACTAGCGCAAGACCGGAGGTGGCGCGCCATCTCAATGACTGCCGTAACCCCCATCGCCATAGCACCCCACCATTCCGCTGAACGCCGTTCGCCAAGAGGTCCAGTAACCTCGATCTGGTGATCTGCCCGCCTGAGCCTTCCACAAGTGTCTCTAGGGTGCCGTCGCCTCCATCCGCGACTGGAACCGTGACCACCACCACGAGTCTGGCTCGACGCGCAGAACTCCTTCGCGCATAGCCGTCGCTGCATCGAGCGCAGATATGCTGCCTTTGAAAGCCTGAGGTGCAATGAGAATCTTCATAATGGCAATTATATCATTCGTCGTGTCGACGCGGCACATCCTGCTTATCAACACACACGCTTAAGTTGTGAGTTGGCAGGGGAGGGGAGTGATGACCGAAATTTCTCAATCTGCCGTTACTCAATCTGCTCCCCACAGTCGGTTCCAATTCAGACAATCAGGTGAAAATTGATATCCGCAGTAAAAGGCAATCCGGAGCATCTTGGCCGACGCAAATGGACTTGATGCGCGTTCCACTTAGAATGAACTATAAGTAATTTGATTTGCCGGCACGATCATGGGGAAGCCAAGTATTTTTGACAGAGATTGGTTGCAACGCGGCTCACAATGAAGGCACGTTCAACGGGTTTACTTATACACAGGTTAGCCTGGTCAAGGTGAAGCCTTGAAGCATCTCTGTCTGAATCTCATCAGTGTCTGAAAAATGCAGCAATCCCTCGCAATCACCATTTGGCGCTCACCGATGAAATCAATCGGCCCGCAATATGGCGATATGCAGTTTTATCAAGATATCGCCGTAATTTAGGTGGAATTTGGGTATTTTAGCGCCTTGACTATATTTTCATATTCAAATACCTTTCCGCATGGCTAGAACACGGGAACACTCACTCCCCACACGCCAGATATAGCCTCAATTCGTGAGGACGTTTTCTGCTGCGGTCGCGCGCTGCGGGGATTTGCGTCTGCCAATGCGGCGTTTATAGAGATTGCGCTTGCGAATGCCATAGAGCTGATGGCGCCGCGCAATGGAGGTTGGATCCCGAAGATACCTCTCCCCCACAGGCGCCGTCCATTTGGGATGATCAATACTTGGAAGCTCAGGCGCGTCAGCCATTAGGGGCGCCTCTTGTACTTTCAGGAGAAGAGGCCCGACGGGTAGCTTTGGGAGCATTTGCCTCCCCTACAGACTTCAATGAAACTTCTTCTGACACCGGAAAGAGCCAATTCGACAGTAGAATGCGTGGTCAAGTTGGCGATCCGGTGCAGTTATCGCATGAGGATGCCGCAGAAATAGCGCGTGAAGCGCTCCTGTTCGGTATGCCGGGTGGGGAGGAGGCAAGTGATGGCTGACATGCTTTTAGATACCACGGTCTTCATGACCTTCGTAAAGGCGATCACGAAGCGCGCAAGTTAGTCGAAGCCATCCTGGAAGGTGAGCTAAATGCTGCTGTGTCGCCCATGACCGTGTGCGAACTCTGGCATCTTGGCAATATCGACAGGCGCACAGAAATCGGCTTCCTGAGCGTACTGCGATTTATTGAAGAAGCACAGCCGGACATCGAGATAGCGCGAACCGCCGGCCTGTGGCTTGCCGACTATGACGAGATCAATGGCCGGAAGGGCGCGTATGTATCCGTGGCAGCAGCGACGGCGAAACAACTCGGAATACCCATTTGCACTCGCGATACTGAGTCATTTGAGCAATTCGATGTCGAAACTACCTCCTATTGATTGAATAGCCCCATCTGCGGTGCAATATTGCAACCAAACCAATACGCAAAAGTTACTTGCATTTGCACCGCTCTCTCGCTTCCAGTTCCCGCCGGAGCATCAGGGACCATCTGCTTGCGACGTCATAGTCATGATGCGTACTATCCAAGTCGCAAAGACTGCTGAATGGCCTGAAGGCGGAAGGTCGTCCCACACTACCATGGTAACTAACGGACCTGCCGACAACGAAAGGCTCGAGTCCTCCGCGGCACACTCAAGAATTCTTGCGCCTTTCAAAAAACACCACTCGCTGCAAGGAGAATGAGTACGTAGGACTTACCCTGGGTCTAAGCGCGGTAGTGAACTCTAGGCGGAGCCTACTCAATGAGACATTTCGTCGCACTGCACTGCGAAAAAGCGCTCCTGATCGTCGCCTTTTGGCGGTTTTTTGGCAGTTCAGTCAACTGATGAGCAGCATAGCATCGCGGCGGCGACGCTCGCATACGCGCAAGGGTTGACGGCGCGCGATTACGCCAGCTGAGGAAGCGACAGCCCTGTTTTCCAATGTGATCGACGAGGTGCGCCCGAAACAGGGGCGAAAGTACGTGATAGGAAAATGCAGCTCAGCACAGGGCCAGGCGGACTTCTTGAATCAACGATCGCGAGATGGTTGAGTACATATGTGCGCTCGAGCCTCGCGTCTGCGGTAGTAGCATATGATATCACCTGAGTCAGGCGCACGCGCGCGGCATCGACGCCGGTACATTCATCAAGAACACCGCAGCGGCGGCTCACGGTAGCTGCAATGGCATCCGGCGACAACATTGTCGCGGGCAAAATCAACCCGTCGGTGCGGGCGGAGAGAGGACTTGCCGGATACACTCCGATGCAAAGGGGCAACACAAGACGCGGCTGCGTCCTCCGAGCATCGCCTCGCAGCGCAATCGCACGCAGGAAGCGCTTCAGGAGGATACCGTCCTGGATGCCGTGTCCTATACGGCGACAGAGGTGCGTTGGAGAGTGCAGGTTGTTGACTAAAATAAGGCTGAGAACACTCTCAAAAGCGATCTGCTTCCCACCATTCACGGCAGAGGATGACCATCGATCGCAAGGGTGAAAAGGTGCAGTGTAGATGACCTGACGCGGACTCGACCACCACAACCATCGAGCGCGACGCCCGTGCAACACGTCATATTCGTTTTCAGAAGTGGCGGACCCCACCGTAGCGTGTCATGCATACTTTTGCCCATTGAAAGCGGTATCGGCATCATCATCGAACTGATTCAGCCTGGCTGATAGGTCCCGGCGTTGTTGCTTCATAGCCCTCATCTTAGGCTTCCTGCATTCGGAAACCTGCCCGTGAACTGGGTGGGTGTCGGCTTGATAGTGATCGCAATGGCACTTTCTACTAGAAGCGCAGGCGCGGCATCGGCATTTTCGGCATTACTGGCGCGATAGGTTTTCTGATAGGCGCTTTCTGCTATTTGGCAACATAACCCTTTTCACCAGAAAGTGTCCGGACCTGCCAAATGCACCAGTTCACGGTCAGTCTCATGGATAATCGGGGCGATGAGCGCACTTCTCTTCGGCTCGATGGTTGTTTACAATCAGGGGCTGTAAGACAGGCGCGAAGAATTCCCTCATACTACGACCACGCGTATAGCAATACCGACAATCTGATAGGCAGCATCGGCACGGCAACGACCGATCTTAACCCAATGGGAAGTGTCCGTGTTGCCGGAGAGCAGTGGGAGCGCGATTTCGGACTCAGGTGTACAACTGCCAAGTGGGGAGCGTGTTATGATAGTGGAGGTCAACGGTTTGACCCTAAGAGTGGTCAGAGAAGACGCTTACTCAGGACGTATGCAGGAATGATGGGCATTGAGCTTTTGGGATGGGGTTTTGGTCTAGTTGTCGCAGCCCTGGTGCTGTTCTTTTTGGAAACACAGATGCCGGGGATGGGCGTATCGGCTTGAGCGGCGCCGTGTGTCTGGTGGGGCGCGTTCATGCTAAGCCGTGGCGACGCCGCGATCGTGGGCGGTGCGGCCGTCATATCGTTTGCATCGGTGGCTCTCACCATCAAGGCAACGTATGAAGCGCGCAGGGCGGGGAAGTACGCTAGCCCTACAGACCCAAAGAGACTCATCGGGCAGGTGGGCACGACCACTACCGCGCTTACGCCGCGGGGAAGCGTTCTCATCGCAGGCGAGCAGTGGAGTGCGGTATCAGACTCCGGTTCAGCCGTGCCAAGCGGTGAAAGTGTTATAATACTGGAGGTTGAGGGCCTTGTCCTTAAGGTGTTCAAGGCAGATGAGGGCTGATTATTGTTGATTATTCATAAGAAGTTACGGCCCAGTTACGGGGGGACGATGCAATGATTCCATACATCAAGATAGTTCAGCAGTACGAGTTGTTAACCGTTTTCTGGCTGGGTAAGTTCGTTGGCCTGAAGCAGCCGGGGTTACAAGTTATGGTCTGGCCCTTTCACTCGTCGACGACCATTGACCTGCGGGAAGATGTGATAGACATCCCTAGGCAGACGAGCATACAAGCGACAACGCGCCATATGACATAGACTTCCTGGTGTATCTTCGGGTGGTACCCAACGACGCCCAGAAGTCGGTGCTGGAGGTGGTGGACTACACCAGCGCGGTCATCGGTATTGCCACTACTACCCTGCGCTCTATCATCGGTGAGATGCCGCTGGACGATGTGCTCTCGCAGCGCGATCGGATCAATGAAGATTTGAGGTTGAAGCTGGACGAGATAACGGCGCGTTTGGGGCATCAAGGTAACACAGGTGGAGATACGGGAAATCGAGCCGCCGCGCGACATTCAAGAGGCGATGAACCGCCAGATGTCCGCAGAGCGTGTGCGCCGCGCCGCCATCATCGAGGCGGAAGGCACACGGCAGGCGGCGATAACCGTTGCCGAAGGCGAAAAGCAGTCGGCTATCCTGAAGGCGGAGGGCGCAAGGCAGGCCGATATTCTCTCAGCCGAAGGCGACCAGCAAGCCGCCGTGTTGCGCGCCGAAGGTTTCAGCCTTGCTCTGACAAGGTGAACGACGTGGCACAGGGCATCAACGCCAATACACTGAGTTTGCAGTACTTCGATACGCTTCAGAAGCTGGGCAGACAGTTCGTCCACGAAGTTCATCTTCCCGATGGAGTTCACCAGCCTGCTGCACCGATTCACCAGCAATGCGGCAGGACAGTTCCAGCAGCATTGACGCTGCGGCGGACTAGACGAGCCTGAATCGGCAACTACGCGGGTGGCGATGCAAGGCGAAAGCAAATTCGGCCGCAATAGAATGGCGTGACTACACGTAATTCTTTACACTGCGAGCGAGTGACAATGTCATTCCGGGAACAGCAGCGATTTCATCTACGGAAGCGCTGCTGACGCCGCGAACTGAGCCGAACCGCCGGATAGCATCCTCTTACGCTTGGACCAATACCAGGCACAAGGTCAAGCGCAGATTGAAACGCTCTTCTTAGAGCGACGTTCGCGGTGGAACTGTAATTGCAAAGCGATGCGCCTCGTCGCGCGCTCTCTGTACTAAATATAGCCTTGAGAGTTGCGCGGCAGCATATGCTCTCGCTCATCATCGGGATGAGAGCTCTTCATTTTCCTTCGCTAGACTTGCAAGCGGAATGTCGTTAATGCCAAGTTCCAAGAATACCTGCAGTGCAGCACCTAAATGTCCTTTGCCGCCGTCTATAAGCACAAGATCAGGCTCAATGCCCCAAGCGTTCTTGCTACTTGCATTGCCATTGGAAACTGCCGCCGATTCTACATCGCCTTCAAGCGCGTCCAATTCGCGGGGTTTCCTCGACTGTGATAGGCGCTTGAATCGGCGCGTCAGCATTTCGCGCATCATTGAGTAGTCATCAACTCCCTTTACGGACTTGATCTGAAAGCGGCGATAGTGTGCTTTCTTCGGCTTGGCGTCCTCGAAAACCACCATACTGCCGACTGCATTTGTACCCTGTATGTTGGAGATGTCGTAGCACTCGATGCGCTTGGGCGGGTAAGGGAGGCTAAGCGCCTCTGCAGCTCCAACATCGCGGCGTCCATCGCAGCAGTGTCGGATGTCTGCTTCACTCGTAACTGCTCAAGGCCCTGTTCGGCATTCTCGGCGACCATTTGCACAAGGCGGCGCTTTTCGCCGCGTTGCGGCACATGGAGGCGCACGTTGCCTTTGCGTTTTTCTCGCAGCCACTTGACGATGCTGTCTGCTTCTTCGAGCGGGTGCTGAAGCAGTATGCGGGGTGGCACATAAGGAGTAGCGTCGTAGAACTGCTTCACGAATGCAGTGAGAATCTTGTTTGGTTCATCATCCTGAGTCCCTGCCATCAGGAAGTTGTCGCGCCCAATCAGCTTGCCCTGCCGTATGAAGAAGACCTCAACCCATGCTTCCCGGCTACCTGGGCGGTCGCAATCACGTCCACATTCTCAGACGTCAAGTGGAGCACCTTCTGGCCCTCGTGGACCTTCTCGATGCGGTTAGTTGATCGCGGAGACTGCTGCCTTCTCGAACATCTAGGCGTGTCGCGGCATCCAGCATGCGCCTCTTAATTGAACCCAGACCTTATTGGGTTTTCCTTCAAGAAAGAGGATTACCTGGTCAATGACCTCTGCATACTCTTGTTTATCAACAGCTCCAATGCACGGGCCGATACAGCGATGAATGATAATCGAGGCATGGGCGCGCATCGTTGCCGGTGATAGTCTTAGTGCATGACCGGTATGGAAGAGCTTCTTTAGGAGGTTGAGCGTGCGTCGAACGCTACCTGCGCTTGCAAACGGGCCAAAGTAGCGAGAGCCGTCCTTGTTACTCGTCGCGTAATGTAGACCTGCGGGAAGTCCTCTGAACGTCAATTTTGATGAAGGGGTAACTTTGTCGTCCTTGAGGCGAGCATTGAATGGAGGCTGATGTTCCTTGATCAGGTTACACTCAAGAATAAGAGCTCCTGCTCTGACTCTGTGACGATGTATTCGTAATCGGCAACTTTGCCAACATATTTACAATCTTGCGCGCAGGTTTGCGCTCGACGCGAAATATGAACTGACACGACTACGAAGTCCCGCTGCCTTGCCGACATACAACACTTCCCCAGAACCGTCGCGCATAAGGTACACTCCCGGCTTAGCGGGGTAGCTTTGAGGGCGCTCAGGAAGTCTATATGCGGCATTCTGTTGTTCCGCAGGTTTGATTGCAGCTTCAGCGGGGCGTTGAGGCTCTAGCCTAACACGAAGGTCAGCCGACTAGATATGACGCGATAAGCGATGTTATAGCACCGATCTGGCGCAATTCCCGGCCGAGGTATCGATTAGTATTGGATGTACCTGTGTCTGCCCCACGACGCCTGGAGCGCAGAGGAAGTCGGGCGGGCGACGCCGCTTCGGTTGCGACTTCCGATCTGAAAGTGGAGGCTTGTCTGACAGGGCGGCTCTGTACTGCGGCAGCAGGATCACTCACGGCGGTCGGTTGTGTCGGCACTGCTTGGAAGTCCTGAGGTGCGGCCTTGCCGCGCCTTCTTCGGCGGCTTAGTCGCGCCTGTCGTGATGCAGCGCGTTGTGCTTTGCTTGGCATTGTGAAAAATCTCCTGAAAATACCTGAACTCGTGGAGAAGAATATCAAGCACGATTTCTCAAGCCGGCGTCGAGATGAACTGCTTCAGAGAGCTCATCGCGCCCGCGGGTGCGACTTGTCGTATTCGGTTCTTACATGTTCGCTGGTCAGATGGGTGTAGACTTGCGTGGTAGTAATGCTGGAGTGCCCCAGCAACTCTGAACATGCCGCAGGGGTGCTCCGCCTGCAGCAGGTGAGTTGCGAAAGCTATGGCGAAGCGTTATGCGGCGTAATCTTTTAGATATGCCTGCACGCTGGCTTGTGCCTTCAGAATTAGCCAGAAACCTGCCGGCTAAGACGCGTGTCCTCGCCGATTCATGAACAAGGCGCGCTCTGAGGTATTCTTGGTGAATGCGGGACGCGCTTCGTCGATATAACGTCGGAGGATGGCAACTGCACCGGAATGGACCGGAATCAGGCGCTCTTTACTGCCTTTTCCAAGGCAACGTACAGTGCCTTGCTCAAGGTCCAGGTCTGCGATATTCAGGGATACAAGCTCGGTTACTCGAAGACCACTGCATAAAGGATTTCGAACATTGCTGGTCGCGCATGCCGTTCCGAAGTTTCCTGCTTAGATGCCGATTACCAAAAGACTATCAACTTCGTCGGCACTCAGCGTATTCGGTAAACGAGCGTCCGATGCGTGGTGAGCTGATATTTTCGGTTGGTCGCGAGTACTATACCTTCGTCGACCAGAAATTGAAAGAGCGACTTGCTCGAGGCAACTTTGCGAGCTCGAGTCGTATCGGAATACTCCAATGCATGAAGATGAAGTAAATACTGCGACATCATGTCCTCGTCAACGCCTTCCCATCCCCGCCGTTGCCGTTGAAGTAGTTGGTCTCAAGTACTCATAAGCTGGGCCAGATCACTTCCATAGGCGGCAAGCGTATTGGCGATACGCCACGCTCGACGGTCATATAGTCCAGAAAACCGTCTACACTACTCTGCAACAGATTTAAACACTCCTAAATATATTGTGACTAATCTTCATTCTAGCATAATGTAGGGGCCTTGTCCGACCTGCATTCTATTGACACACGAACTGTACACGCTATTTTGGACCTGCCGTGTGAGTTAACTATCATCCCTGCAAGAGGAATGTTCAAATGCAAATGCAACAATTCCTTGGATATTGGGGAGCGACGCATGCAAAGGTAGCAAATGATTGAAATCGATATAGGGCCATTCTTAATCTCGTCAGGATCATTCTTGACTGAGTGGCACGGCGTCTTCAGCTTTATCGCAGTTGCTACCGGCTGTGTATTTGGTGGGGCGCTGGGCACCCATGAAGGCCATAGACCCCGACGATATCTACTCAATCGCAATATGGGCAATTCTTGGCGGCATCATCGGCGCGCGCATTGTGCATGTGGTAGATAACTGGGCTTTCTACCAGTACAACCTTTGCAGAGATTTTCATCTGGAGCGGCGGCAGATGGATCTGGGGCGCCATCATGGTGGATTCATTGGAGGCGCAGACGTATGCGCTAGTGTCAGAAGCACCCAGTTGGAGTAATTGCGGACCTCACTGCGCCGTCATTACTGCTGGTTCAGTCGATGGCAGAATGGCGATATCGTCAACGGCGAGATTGTTGCCAGAGTTGCAAGGAGTTCATATTGGATTCAACTGGATTCGCCCGAAAGCGATGCGCGCGCGTGTGCGCCAACGGGGTGGGGAGTTCCCGTTCAACCGTGATTGCGTATGAAATGCTTTGGAACTAGGGGCATTGTTCATCATCTGGAAACTGCGCGATAGAATAAAGCCGGACGGCATGCTGTTCGCGCTCTACCTAGCGCTTTATGCAGTGGGTCGCTTTTCGTTACATTCCTGAGACAGGACAAGGTTTGGACGCTTGACTACAAGAAGCGCACTTCATTGCCATTCTAGTATGCCATCACTATACCTTTATGTCATAAAGCGCGTCCTACTACTCCGGAACAAATCGCGGCAGAGGGTGAGGAGATCGCGGAAAGACGTTCACGAAGGTTGTCGCGTGCCGAGCGCAGGCGGCGTGAGCGCGACGGTTAATCAATGAGCGGGCGCGTAGGTCTTGAACTGTCATCTGAAGCACTTGGCTGGCTTCCCCAGGTGTCTAAGCCGGACAGTGAATACGACATCTACGTGTGTTCCGTGTTTCCTGCACTTTATGTCCCAGATTGAAGCCTATTGCGTCGATCGTGTGCCACGATGCCATAATCGCATCTTTAGATGGTTCCTTCTTGCGCCGACTAGACGAACGTCAAGCACCGAACACCGCGGGTCAAGAACATCGGCGCAGGGTTACCTTCACCGATGGTCCGAGAGGACCGAATGAAGTCGAAGTTCTGAGGCTGAAGGCAGACAACTGCACCTCGCAGTCTATGTCAATTGATGCCGAAAGTTCGAGTCCTTCCAACAGTCGGTCGCGATGTTATCGATGCTTCGCTCAAGTTGGGGGAGCGATTCCGTGCGTATGGTAAAAACCCGCTGCCTGCGGATGACCCGCCGTGACGCTCAAACAGATGCGCACTCTGCCTCAGCGCATCGACAATGTCGAACTCCGGGATGCTGCGGGCACTGGCTCGGCTGGTATGTTCGCCCACAGATATTGCCACCGCAGGCCTGTAGTAATCCTCGGACAGCTTCCCGCAACTAGCCCCAATACACCCGGAATCCATTCCTCGCTCTTCACGATGAGGATAGGAGGGAATCTCACTTCGTCCTGCAATCTGCCGCTCCGCCTCGGCGACGGCGCGGCGCGTAAGCTCTTGCGCTCGCGATTCTTGCTCTCTATCTCGCCAGCCATTGAGCGAGCCTCTTCGGCGCTATGGTGGCAGAAGTTCCAGGCTGATACGCGCGCTACCAAGTCTGCTGCTACATTGAGGCGAGGAATAATGTTGAACGACCAGTTGCTCAGTATCAAGGGTACCATCTTTACTTTGGCACTGGCGGCAAGTCGCACGAAATTCCGAGATATCCGTACTGTTGATGCGTTCCAGACCACGCTTGACCAAAAAACGGTTCTCGTCTTTGAGTGGCCCGACATCCGCAACAGTGCCCAGCGCCACGAATCTCAGCAAGTGTTCCGGCCAACCAAAACCAGGGATCGTGAAGCGCCTCAACCAGTTGAAGACATGCCCACTCCCGTTAGATCGCCAACGGATAGTGCGAGTCAGGGTGTCTGGATTGATGAGGCGTGAGACGCAGGAAGAGTGGGCAGCACGCGTGATGATCAGTAATGATGGTGTCGACGCTAGTGCCGACGCCATGGCCACTTCTTCAATTGAAGTTGCGCCGCAGTCACTGTCAGCAACAAGGACACGCCCTTTTCGCTCAGCCTATCGATGGCATCAGCATTTAGGCCATGTCCACTCAGCAACACGGTACGCGGAATATAAGGCGTTACTCTCGCATCAGGTCCCCGAGTGCTGTCGTCAGCAGAGCGGTGCCAGTGATACCATCCGCGTCGAAGTCTCCAAAAATGCCAATATGTTGCCCGTTTCTAGCGCGCGCTTCAAACGGGCAACAGCACTTGTCCATACAGGGAGCAACCAGGGTCGTGCCTGAGCCGCGCATCAGGATGAGAAAGAGGTCGGCATCCTCTGAGGAACGAATGCCTCGGTTGTAAAGAGATGAGCATGGAATGGAGGAAAGCCCACCTGTCTGGCAAATCCCATTGGGGGAAGTCGCGCAATTCCCAGCGCTTGCTCATCGCGCCTATCATCTGCATCTTCGATCGGAACACACCGAAATGCAGATCGGCGATTTTTCTATTCTTCATATCGCTGGAAGGCTAGAGAGGCATTATGCCGCCGAACCAAAAGAGTTACTGAGCGCAGCATTGATACGCCCTTGCCTTGCAATAGCGGCGTGTAATCTAGACACATTCAGATCGGCATTCTTCAAGTTAATGGTCGGCGGTATTGTCTCTTCAGATATGGCAAGCGTTGTAATAGCAGCCTCAAGCGCACCGCAATCCATTCGGGCGTCCCTTGATCGGCCACATCAATGTCCATCTAAGTCCAATCGTTTTCGCGCCATTACCATACTTTAGAAAACCCGGATATAGGGAGTGCATAGTCTGAATTGACCGCCTGTTCGACAAGTTCATATAATAGCATAGCAACACTTCGAACATAGAAGGAATTACCTTTGACTGAAACTAGCCAAACCCGCGCTACATTCGCAATAGAAACCCATGGATGCAAGCTCAACCAGGCGGCACTCTGGTACTCGCGCGGGAGTTTGCCGGGGCAGGGTTGAGGCAAGTTAGCACCGATGAGCCTGCTGATGTCTACGTGGTAACAGCTGCCGGTTACGCTGTGTCGCCGACCGGAAGGCTCGGCAGTCACTCAGGGCGGCAAGGCGCCGTAATCCTGGTTCAACATTGTGGCTACGGGATGCTATTCCGAACGTACACCTGTCAGCAGCTTAGTGCAATGGACGAGGTTGACCTTGTATTCGGTAATGTTGACAAGCCGCGTTAGTCAACAGATTGTCGAATGGAGAGGCGAACACGCTGTACCAATGCGCTATTGGGGATGAAGCCGATTATCAGCCCGCGTATCGGACGCACCAGAGCAATGGTGAAGATACAGGAAGGCTGCAACCAGTCTGCGCCTATTGTATCGTGCCAAAAGTTCGTGGCAGAGAACGCAGCATACCACAGAGCACTGGTGGGTGAGATTCAGCTACTTGCGGCTAGGGTTACAAAGAGTAGTGCTTACAGAACTCAACTTGGGTCGTACGGTTTTGACCTAGTCGGGGCGTCACTTGGATTGCTTATTGCAACCATCTTGTCTCGTTGCAACATTAACGCCTGAGGGTCTCATCTCTCCAACCTAGGAGATTACTGATGACCTTTGGCGTTATGGAGCGACAAACGACTGTGTCCGCACTTTCATAGCCATTGCAGAGCGGCAGCAACTCGATATTGGGATGATGAGGCGCCGCTATACCGCAGAAGACTATGTCGAAACTGTAAAGCGAATTCGCGAGAGATACCTCAGGCAAGCATAACGCCGATGTCATTGTGGGGTTTCCCGGCGAGACTGACGAGCAGATTCAGGCGACTTACGAGCTATGTGAGAGTATGAGTGTTTCGCTGACTGTCATGTGTTTCCCTACTCAGTGCGCCCCGGCACCAGCGCTGCGTACTACTAACGATCAATTGAGTGCCTCCGCCAAGAGGAGCGACGCCTGCAAGCTTGCTGAATCTTGTCAATGTCTATGGCAATCAGTTCAGACAAGCTCGCTTGGCACTGTGCGGCGTACTCGACTGTGGACGCGCGACTCGCCGATGAGGGACGATCCAATGGAACAGGCTGACCCGACACCTACAAAAACATCCGTGTCAAGTCGAAGAGAGTATCTCCCCTCTCATGTCATTGCGCCGGCAATGCTGTGCGAGCCTAGATGTCGAGGAACTCGTGCGCGCCGAAATGTCTAGCACAATGCAAATGGAAGGAGTCGCTCAATAGCGCCCTTTCCATTTTGGTGGTTCTATCTGTCGCCTAAGATGCTAGATGTCAGACCATTGGAATTAAACTCAACTGCCAGAATTGAGTGGCGCCGTTCTTCTGAACTATGTAGCCTGCGTTCTGCTCGTAGGCATGACCGAAAACAACTAACCAACCGCCTTCGACCGCCATGTCAATGACTCCCGCCGCTTTGCTCTAGCGTAGTATTAGGAACCGTGCATTGCAGGATGTATGGCGGGAAGGTGGTATGCGTAGTATAAGGTCGCTGACATAGGCAATCTTCTCGCTGCCACGTCCACCAGTACAATCTGATGACCATCTGACGGCCGTTGGTCACCTTAACCGTCATCCGGGAGTACTTTCGTGCTTGTCATCATGAACTCAAGCATATCGCGCTCGGCAGTGGCCAAGAATCGTCCTCATGGAAGATACTCCCTGTAGCGCTCGTTAGGTGAATTAGCTTCCTGCAGCTCTGCTCTCTGTACAGATACTAGCTTTGGGGAAGGTGGGCACAGGTGTACCTGATCGTCCAATTTAGTACGCCTCCAGATGGTCCAAAGTGCAGTTGCTGAGAATGACAGCGTCAATGTCGCGGGCAGTTATGCCTTTCGCTTCAAACCCTTTAGCAGCTTGTTGCCGTTCAGACGAATCATCTCCTTCATCTTGTCCTGACGCTTAGAGTCCAACACCCGTGTCACCAGGACGTTGAACTCGGGAGTTTGAATCACCATGCAATTGAGCGCTAAACGAATGCGGTTCCGCCGGTCGGGTTTAATTTGAAGTTCCCACTCGGTTCTGGTATCTGCCCAAATAAGCAGCCGCCGTCCATCAGAAATGTGCCATCGCTGACAACATCGATCGTGGTCGTTCCAAGGTTCATAGCAATCTCCTATAGGCGTCGCCGGGCGAAAGGAACGCCATACATACAAGGTTTACTGAAAAGACCGCTCCGGAGTGAAGCCACCCTGGGTACGATTGCAATCGCTAACCCATAAATAGTACTGCGTTCTAACCCAGGAGTTTCGGGGCTGATCGCAGGAGATGGAAAGCCTAGATAGTCGCCGACAACAACCTCAACCCCGTAAACCTTCCCTTCTCCGTGTATAAAACATAGTCTTTATCCCTGAAACAAGTCAATCAGATTAATACAAGTTTTGAGAAATACAAGAGAAAAATGCAAGGAATTGCAATTGTGATAGTTGTTCGCGTCAAACAAGATGGAAGTTACGAATATCGTAACTGCTTTTGCCTGCATCAAGCGACAAGTGGCACAGCCTTGCTGCGGTCTGGCAAATCTAGGGGTAACGCCGAATATGCGGTCAGAACACATAATCGGCGTTCAGGCGTGTACGTTGTAGCTCTTCAACTCTTCATGCCGAGGCGAAAGCATCGAGAGTGTGCTGAACATCGGCCGAGTCGTGAGCGAGGGAGACTAGAACTTGGTGTCGCCTTTCAGAACGCCGCGCGCGAGCAAGAGTTCATTGAATCGCCCAAGCATCTGCTTGTCCGCGAGCAGAGTAGATCGGTAGTCAGTACTTTCCTGCTCCGTAAAGAAGACGTCAAATAGTGCGCTTCGCCGACGACCTCTGGCGGGAAGCTCGGCTCGCTGAGCATGCCTGGAGTTCATTCCTGAGGCGATTGCCGTAGCGAATATGCGCTCGTAAGTGCCTTCGCGCCGAGAATTTCAAGTGTCTTGAGACCGGCGGCAGACGCGACTGGGTTGCCGCTGAGTGTGCCTATCTGTGGGAGATAGGCGTCTGCCTCCGTGATGAAGCATCAAATGCGACATCATTTCTTCCTTGCCCGCAACGGCTGCCAATGGGAATCCGCCAGCGATGACCCTTGCCGAGCGAGCACATGTCAGGGCTCCGACGCCGTAGAATTCCTGCGCCCCGCCGTAAGCGAAGCGGAATCCAGTCACCACCGTCGTCGAAGATCAATGGGACAACCGTGCTGAGCGGTTACATCCCGCAAGCCCTGCAGGAAGCCGGGCTTTGGCGGCAGGAGGCGCTGAACGGCTCGACAATCACTGCGCCGAGTTCGTCGTGATGCTCCTCGATTATCGCAGTTGCAGTTTCAAGGTCGTTGAAGGCGCAATCAGCACTTCGTCCTGAATGGAACGGGGTATGCCAGCGGAGTCGGGAGTTGGGCGGGGGAAGTCGTGCGGGTTGGCGGGCGACATGCTCATCAGGGCGTAGTCGTGCATGCCGTGGAAGCCGCCTTCAAACTTGAGAATCTTGTCGCGACCTCTGTAAGCGCGCGCAGTCCTCAGAGCATAGAATGTAGCTTCCGTGCCGCTGCTGGTGAAGCGCACCTTGTCGCGCAAGCTACCGCGCTAACCAACTCTTCCGCAAGAAGTATAGCCTGTTCGTTATTGGCGAAGAAGGTCGTACCCTTCTCAATCTGCTCGCGGGACGACCTCAGTGACCTCCGGGTGGGCGTGGCCAATGAGCATGGGACCTGAACCGAGAAGATAATCCACGTACTCGTTACCGCTTGCGTCGCGTACCCTGCCTGCCTTGCCTTCGGCGATTACGATATCCCTGCCGATGTTGCCAAGGCTACCGCCGGGCATGACACGATGGGCTCTCTGAATCAGTTCGGACTCTGCTGCGGATATGGTGCGCTCTGCCACTGGGTCGCTCCTTTTAGTCGTGCTGGATCGTAGGTCTGATTGACCAATGCAAGGATAGCAGAAGTGGAGCAGGCTGGCATATAATATCGGCGAATTGTGTGAACAAAGGAGGATCGAATTGAAGATCAATGTGGTTGCAGGCGACATAGCGCAGCAAGATGTGGGAGCGGTTGTGGTGAATCTCTTCGAGGGAGTCACTGCGCCGGCTGGTGCGACGGGGCGGTTGACCGCGCGATGGGCGGGGCAATATCAGCACTCATTGCGGACGGCGAGATCAAGGGGAAGCGTGGCGAGATCACGGTAATTCATACGCTGGGGACAATTGCGCCGAAGCGAGTGCTAGTTGCCGGGCTGGGCAAGTCGGAGTCGTTTACGCTGGATGGGGTACGGAACGTGGCGGCGAATAGCGCGCGCCACCTGAGCGGCATCGGCGTAAAGTCTGCGGCGACCATCGTGCATGGTGCGGGTGTAGGGGGGTTGGACGACAAGGCGAGCGCGCGGACGTTGGCTGAGGGCGTGGTAATGGGGATGTATCGCTTCGACAAGTACAAGTCGAACGCATCAGAGGGCGGACTAGGCGAGATGACGATCGTGGAGTTCGACGAATCCAAAGTGGATGCGCTGCAACAGGGCGTGAGCGAAGGCTGCGTGATAGGGGAGGCGGTGAACTTCTGCAGGGATATGGCGAACGAGCCTGCGAACAATATGACGCCGTCGGACATGGTAGAGCAGGCTCTGAAAGTTGCTCACACGCATGGTGTGGAGCTTGAAGTGCTGGAGCGGGCGCGGATGGAGGAGCTTGGGCATGGGCGCGCTGCTGGGTGTGGCGCAGGGGAGTGAAGAGCCGCCGAAGTTTATCATCATGCGTGTACAACGGGGATGTGGATGACGAGGCGAACAACATCGGACTGCTGGGGAAGGGCATCACCTTCGACAGCGGTGGCCTGGACATCAAGAACGCGGCGGGCATGTCAACTATGAAGGGCGACATGGCGGGAGGCGCTTCGGTTATTGCGGCTATGCAGGCTATTGCGCGACTGAAGCCAAAGATCAATGTTACGGTCATAGTTCCGGCGACGGAGAACATGCCGAGCGGTACTGCGCAGCGTCCGGGCGACGTGGTGCGGGCGATGAACGGCAAGACTATCGAGATTGACAATACGGACGCCGAAGGCAGGCTGGTGCTGGCGGACGCAATGTCTTACGCGCGGTCGGTTGGGTTGAACCGGCTGGTGGATGTTGCCACGCTGACGGGGGCGATGTCGGTAGCGCTGGGTGACCAGTGCATGGGCGCCTTCGGCAACGACGATGAGTTCACGCAGCAGGTGGTTAGCGCGGCCAATTCGGTGGGGGATAGGGCATGGCCTCTGCCGATGTTCGATGAGTACAAGTCGCAGTACAGCAGCGATATCGCGGACATCAAGAACACGGGCGGTCGCGGCGCAGGGTCTATCACGGGCGCGCTGATAATCGGCGAGTTCAATGACGGGGCGCCGTGGGTGCACCTGGACATCGCTGGAATGGCGCGGGCGCGTGGCAGCAGTGGCGCGACTGTGAAGGGCGCGACAGGCGTGCCGGTGAGGACACTGGTGCAGCTGGTGTGTGATCTGGCGGGTTAGGGAGAATAATGCATCGGGGGTCAGCCGTCAGTATTCGGTTTCAATCGGTGAGTTGTCGGTTGTCACCTGGACATAGAAGGCTCAGGTGGTTCAAGTCCATCACAACCGAAGTTTTGACCCCCGCCCACGGTGTCTCCTTCAGGGAAGCAACTTTAGGGGCTGCGAATGGTGGGCTTCTTGACCTTTCGGGCGAGCGGGTTGGGGAGGACGGGAGTGCCGTAGATTGCCGCGGCTTCCTTTATATGCGCGAGGGCGGTGGACACGTCTCTTAGCGTTGGGTTGGTTGTCCGTTTCTCGCTCGATTTCCTCCTCGAATATGCCGTATTCGCGCCTGTCTTCTTCGTCGAACTTTGCCTGATCCTCGGGACTCAGGGGTTCGTAGAAGTAGTCCACTGTCGGGTCGGAGTCGGAGGGGCCGCATTCGTAGTAAGTGGGTTCTTCGATTGCCTCAATGTTCTCGGCTCCCGCTTCGCAGGGGTATCCTCTTTCGACGGGATGGGTGAGGAAGTGATGTCGGTATCTCTGCCGTAGTACCTAGTTTCGGTATCAAGGGCGTCTGTCGTCTCCTATGTCTTTTGGGCTTTGAATGCTGGGATTGTCCTAGTTGGTCTACATGTTCGGCAGTCTTACCAGTGCCTTTGTCTTTCGAGCACCAGGACATCGGGTTGTAGTCCGACTCTGACATCGGTGGATGGGAAGAGGGACTCAACGCTCATCCGGCCCTTCTACCGTTGTCGGGAAGAAGAGGCCGCGGGAGAGACGTGCTTTGCCGTGACGCGCTCGGATGTGAGTTCGTTCTGCAGCTTGCGTTCGTCTTCTTCGGTCCATCCTATGGGACGCTGGGCACGCCAGTAGCCTTCGACCTGCTCCCAGGTTACGCCGTCGAAGTTGATGTCATAGGCGCGGCGCAGAAGCTCCTTAGCCGCTCCCACGCGGTGGCTCATCGTGAAGCCGTCTTCGTGCAGCTGTCCGGCCATCACATCGAGTAGGAAGCGGGTTATGTCGCTGCCGTACTCTGTGTGCTGCCGGATGCGCTGCGAGATGTCCTCGTGGATCGTGTCGTAGTCGTCCTTCTTTTCTGACAGACGCGACGCGATGAACCGAAGCTGCCGAAGCCCCTGTTGAGCAGTTCCTTCGCTGCCGCCATCCTGTCAGCGGGCTTGATGCGCTGTTTGTTGTCTATGAATGGTCGCTGCTGACCGTTCATCACCTTGACGAGGAACTCTACCATGAGGTGGCCATCGTCCGTTTCGTCGCGAATCTGCCGGGCGATGTCGAAGTTCAGGATGTCGAGGAATGTCACCTGACGCGTGGGACGTTCGGTGTGAGTTCCTAATCTTTCTCTTGGCAGCCAGTTTCTTCGGGTGTCGGTATGAGGCCCCAGAAGTTGAGTCTGCTTCTGAGAAGCGTACCTGATGAGCTGCTTGGCGGCATCTAGCCTGTGGTGGACTTTGACGCCGTCGTCCTGTCCCTCCATCGTGTGACGAGAACTGTGCGACGGTGTGTCCATCGTTGGTGTAGGGATTTATGCTGCCTGCAATGTCATGGTCTTCAGCTCACGTTTTTGACGTTTCAGAAATATAACACGGTTACAGACGGCACGGTTGTAATTCCTTTTGTGTTTTGCTTTGCACTCAAACGAACATTGTGCTTTTGCCTATGACTATGATACGGACGAATGTTTGAAGTGTCAAGGGTGAAAGTCGATTCGTTTTGCGTTTAGTCAGCGTTAATGTTCTGGCAGGTTATGGCGCATGGCAGCATGCGCTCTCATAGTTCGATGGCATGTGGTACATTTCCCATTTGTCCATGTCTACGGAGAGCGAGGATTTAAGTCCGTGAATGCGTATGCCACATCTAGATTCTCGCCGCTGCTTCAGATCAGGGAGGGCGTGTTCGAACGCAGTCTAGCTGTGTGATCAAAGTAGCCCGACGAATACTCATAGCCTTCGAAAGACACTGCCGAGCGGCGCTGCGCTGTGTGCAGTATGTGGGCTTGATAACATTACAGCGACCTAATGCAAAGTGAGATGCGCTTGTGACCCACAACTCCGCGATGGACCTTCATTACCAACCACGTTGGTTCTTTCTTTCATATTTCCATATCCGCGTAGCACCGCCCGCGAGATAGCGAATTACATGGTGTACAGGAGCGCACGACGCACAAGATATATCGCGACTTGGAATTTGCAGGATATATAGAGCGGCGCAAAGAGGGTCGGCGCAACGTTTACGACGTGAATCCTTCGCTGCCGTTGCGTCACCACACGAAGCAGGATGTGATGGTTGACGAGCTACTTGAGGCGCTCACTACGAAGGACTCGGAGGAAGTGCTGATCCAGTAGGGCGAGGCCGGCAAAGATCGATCGAATGCCTTATAAGTAGTGTTCGATTTTACCGCCCATATCGCCTGTTCCGCATCCCCCCGTCCTAACTTTCCACACCGAAGGGAAGGGAGTTCTGCGCTGGATGGGAATGGTTGACCAGCGTGTTTGCAGACTGCTAAAATCGGCTTATGAGTGGTGGGTGTGGCCAAGCGGTTAAGGCGCCAGGTTGTGGCCCTGGAGATCGGGAGTTCAAATCTCCTCACCCACCCCACCCACTTTTTTCCCAGAATGATCGTCTGCCTTGTCTAATTGCGCGATTTTTGACCGAGAACGGAGACTTGCATTGACTAACCAATTCAAAGATGTGGTGACGGTTCGCGAAGGTGACGCAGACGGCAATCGAATGGTTGTCCGGCTGACAACGGAGCAGGGCAGGCGAATTCACGCGATTGTGTGCCGCAGGACAATGACTCTCGCACGGGGCCTACGTGGGCGTACCTGTTCGAGAACGACGGCATGACACTGATAGACGCGGGGGCTACGGGGTCTTATCAGCATCTTACGAACGGCGTCGAGGCGACGGGATTCCAGGTGCGTGACGTCGAGCGTGTATCATTACGCATGGGCACCAGGACCACGACGGAGCGGCGGGGCAGTTGGCAGAAGAGGCGGGCGCAGAAATCTGGGCACACGAGATGTACACGCATCTGCTTCAGTACAATCCGTGGGACATACAGCGCAATCCGTCGTCGCCATTGCAGCGCGAGATGGAGCGAGTGGTCACTGCTGACAGGGCGAGCACTGCGGGAGATTCGGCGCGGCAGTCAGCGGGGTATGCGGAGCGGCAGAAGCGGCATGTGGAGATTCGCAGGAAAGTTTGAGGTGGGGCGGAGCCTTCAGGATGACGAAACGGCTGGCGACCTGAAGTTCATATACGCGCCGGGCATTCGCCGGACGAGATTTGCGTTACGCTGGACGAGGCTGGTGTTCACGGGCGACCATGTGCTGCCGGAGATTACGCCGCATCCGACGACGAAGGCGCGGTTCAGCGCCCCGATACGCAAGAGCGTGCCGCAGCGGTACCACTGCGAGGATAAGATTTATGGACTGGAGACCTACCTGCGGTCGCTGAGGATGATTGCGAACCTAGGCGACGATGTGGCGGTGATGCCGGCGCATCGGCTGTTCAGCAAGGGGCAGTTCAACTTCGAGACGGTGGAGCGGGCGGAGGATATCCTGCAGCATCACGCGGTCCGGCTGGAGCGGATTCTGCACAGGTTGGGTACGGAGCCGACGTCGCTGGAGCACATCACGCGAGGGGTGTTCGCGCGGCGCAAGCTGATAGGGGGCAACCTGTATATGGCGCTGTCGGAGATTGTGGCGCATATCGAAATGCTGGAGGATGCGGGGGACATCGAGGTGTGGGAGGATTTGCGGATGCGGTCGAAGGGGAGCGAGAATTACAGGGAGATGATTGCGGGGATGTGAAGAGGCGGGAATAACGGGATGCACAGGTTATAGTGAGGATCTCCGTGCTGGGCATTGTGGTTTCACCTTCTCATTGAACCCTATGATTATGCTAAACTAGTAGGTCTGTGTTGCTGCGCAGTCAATAGCGTCTTGTTCTCCGATTGCGCGCCTGTAGCTCAATGGACAGAGCATCGGTCTTCGGAACCGAGGGTTGGGGGTTCGAATCCCTTCAGGCGCGCCAACGAAGTTAGTCAGTTTCTCAGTAAATCAGTATTTCCGTAAAGGGCAGGCTTTTGTGGCCTGCCTTTTTCATTGCATATTGCCGAAGACGGCTATCCAAATGCAGGGCGGGTTGTGGCTGGTGCAGGCGACGCGATGGCGGCAGTGGGCTGGCAGGAGGACGTGGTCTCCTGCGGAAAGGTGCAGTCTTTCTCCGTTCTCGTATTCCAAGACTGCTTCACCTTGTATGAGGACTACCCACTCGTCTTCGTCCTGGTCGTACCATTGTCCTTCAGGGGTTGTCTGGCCGGTGGAGACGATGCGCTCTATCCTTATGTCGTCGGATCGGACGAGATCGATTATGTCTTCGTTGTGGGGGAGCGGGTCCGGGAGGTTGAAGAGGTTGAGGGTCATTTCGTTCTCCATTGGCGGCACATAGAGTCAATGGGCAAATACGGCATCGCTCGCTGTTAAAGAAAGTGTCGTAGGTTGAACGGAGGAGGGGCAGGCTTTAACGGCCTGCCCCTTTTGGTTCTGGTTAGTCGCGGGGGACTATGGGGAGGGTGATGTGGGAGGGGTGCGCGGCGGAGTGGTGCACGGTTTGCAGGGCGGAGACGAATGAGCCGTCTTCGCCGATTGTCCCGCCGGTGTTCATATTGCGGTCGAAGCGGGGGAAATTGCTGGAGGAGATTTCGACCCGGATGCTGTGTCCCTTCTTGAATACGTTTGCGGTCGCCCAGAGGTCGATCGTGTATTCGACAACATCTCCCGGTGTGATGTATGACGCGGGCGCACGCGGGGTGCGGTAGCGGGCGCGGATGACGCCGTCGGTGAGGTTTCGGGCGTAGCCGTCGGGTTCGACATCGACGAGCTTGGCGGTGAAGTCTGTGTCTATGGCGGATGTGGATGCGTAGAGGGTTACGGTTATGGGACCGGTAACCTCGGTGTCCTGCTCCATTGGCGGCGTGGAATAGACCAGCACATCGGGACGGACCTCGACGGGGCGCTGGTCGTAGGCGCCGGGCGCCATGAACGCGGGGTCGCAGCAGAGGCCGCCGCCGTTGGTGGGCACAGGGATCAATCGGGTTGTACACGAATACGTCGGGCGACTCGTCCGCGGGTGATTCGGGGCTGAGGCTGCCGTCGCCGTTGAGGGTGTTGGCGCGACCGCCGCTGTGCAGGTAGTATCGAACATCCTGGGCTCGTTCGAGGGGCCATTCGTCCTCGTAGCGCCACTCGTTGATGCCCATGACGAAGATGCGGACGGGCTGGTCGTCGGGAACGCCGTTGTCCTCGCCCTTGAGGTGGTGAGTCGTAGTAGCGGAGGAATTCGCCGGGGAGGTCGATGGCTGCTGCCGCCGCGCGGGTGCCGAAGTTGTACTCGCCCGAGACTGCGGGCGCGGAGCCGGAGTGAATCCAGGGGCCGATGAGCAGGCGCTGGCCGCTGCGGGCGAGGTCGGAGGCGCCGTTTGCGCGCATGCCGAGGTAGTTCTGGATCGTCCCACCGAGGAAGATGTCGTACCAGCCGCCAACATTGAATGCGGGGATGGCGATCTCTGAGTGGGACTCGGCGATGCAGACTTGCTTCCAGTAGTCATCGTAGTCGGCGTGGGAGAGCCAATCGTAGTAGTAGGGTGCGATGCCTTCCTTGAGATCGGGCATTTCCTGCATGGGCAGGTGCGAGAAGCCGCCCCCAAGTGAGTCTTTCGATGCGATGAGGGCGTTCAGTTCGCTGATGTCCTTGTTTATCTTCTGGGACAGGTTTGCCCAGTTTGCACCGGCGAGCGAGCCGACGGACCAAGAGAGGTTGAAGCCAAGCTCGAAAGCACCGCCCTGCCACGCCCAGCCTTCATGGTAGTCGTGCGCGGTGAAGCCGGGCGCGATAGCTGTCAGCGAGGGTGGCTTGGACTTGGCAGCGAGCCACTGAGTTGCGCCGACGTAGGAGATGCCGAATGTGCCGACCTTGCCGGTACACCAAGGCTGTGAGGCGAGCCACTCGATGGAGTCGTAGCCGTCGTTGATCTCGTTGGTGAAGGTGTAGAACTCGCCTTCGGAAGTGAAGCGCCCGCGCACGTCCTGAACGACGGCAGCGTATCCGCTCATCGCGGCGCGCACTACGTCAAGGGTGCCGGTGCGGTTTTGGGGGCTGCTCTTGTCGTAGGGGGTTCTTGTGAGAAGAACAGGGAACTGTTCACCCGGGGCGTCCGGTCGGAAGATATCGGCGTAGGTGGTGGCGCCGTCTCGCATCTGAATAGGGACATTGAAGTCGGCTTTGATGGAATAGGGGGTTGGCATATTTCTTATACCTCCATAAGGTTTTTGGGAATGTATATTAGAGGGCGTGAAGTGTCAATCTGGATGTCCGGGCTGGATGTGCGGATTGGACGTGCGGGGAACTCATCCGGGCACGGTTGACCCTGTGGACGGCTGGCCCACCGCGATTGTGTGATAGGAAGGTTTAGCAGGAATTGAACTGTGTCAGGGAGATTCGGACCAGAAGGCGATGCCGAGGAGGCCGGGGCCGATATGCGCGCCCATTGCGGGGGTGAACTCGCTGATGTAAAGCTCGGCGCAGTCGAATTCATCATTGACGGTGTCTCTGATGGAGTCGGCGTCTTGCGGGGCGTCAGCGTGCATTATGGCGACGTGCAAGGGGCCTGGATCCGCTTCGGAGCGCGTTAATTCAATCATTCGGCGGATTGCGGCGCGGCGTGTGCGAGGGCGCGCGAGGGTTGTTATTTCTGATTTCTCCAGCTTGAACAGGGGCTTGATTTGCATCAGGGATGCGCCTAAGTGAGCGACCAGAGGCACGCGGCCGCTGCGACGCAAATAGCGCAGCGTTTCGATGAAGGCGAGAAGGCGGACCCGCTCCGTGACGACCAATGCCTCTGACGCGGTCTGCGCTAAAGATGCGCCCTTTTGCGCTGCTCGCCACGCATGGAGGGCTACGAGCGCCTGAGAACCTGCGGCGGTCTGCGAGTCCACAACGCGGATTTCGACCGAGGGCGTGGTGGCGCACATCTCCTCTGACGCGGCTGTCGCAGAGGTGAAGGACGCGCTGAAGCGGTCACCGGCGGTAATGCAGAGGATGGCGTCTTGATCCCGACCTGCTGCAATAAACACTTCCACGTAGGCGGCAGCGGAGGGCGCCGAGGTCGTGGGGGGCGACGAAGCGGTTCTTATGCGTCGGTAGAACTCGGTGTTGGTTATGTCGATGCCGTCTCGGTACGAAGTTCCGTCGAGGGTCACGGTCATAGGCGCGACATATACACCGGCGCACTCGGCAAAACCCGGCGGCAGCGAGGCGGCGCTGTCAACCACTATTGCGACTTTGGAGGAAACTGACATGGAGGGTTTTAAGGATAGACAGGATGGGATGCATCGCTAGTTTAGCATGTATGAAATGGTGCAGGGTTTTTCAAATGTCGCCGTGAACGGTTGAAGTGGCTATAGTTCTGTGAATGCAACCCTTGTTCATGAACAAGGGCTTTTAGATTCTTCACTGCGCTGCGCTGCGTTCAGAATGACAGAATGGGGATGGCCGTGTTCGGAATGACATGGCAGAGCGTTTCGATTGACATGACAGAGGAACGCGGTAATGAAATGACTCTGGAGATAGTGGGGTTTTGGTTGACACTAAATTGTGGAAGTGCGAACATGGCGGCGTATTTCGGGCTAGTTGATGGATTCCAACTCCCTTGGTTTCGTAGAGCCTCGCAGGAATGATGATGGGGACAAGCGCCGTGAGCCAGTTGCATGAACGAAGCGCAAGCAGGCACATACGCAGCCTTGTCGGGATGAACGATCTCGACTCACTTGCGTGGCAGCGCAGCGACCATGTACTAAGTTCCCTCCGCAATCACATGGGTTCACGCGGCTACCAGCCAATCGATACACCGCTTCTGGAGGAGACGGAGCTGTTCGTGAGAAAGTCGGGCGGCGACCTCGCAGGACGGCTGTACAATTTCACCGATCCCGGCGGGACATCGGTAAGCCTGCGCCCTGAATTCACCTCTTCCGTCATACGCCACTACATAGACAACGAAGAGTCACTGTCGCTGCCGTTGCGGTGGCAGTACAGCGGACCGGTCTTCAGATACTCTCCGGCAGAGCAGGGGAGCTACCGGCAGTTTACGCAGTCGGGTGCAGAACTGGTCGGTGCAACATCAGAAGATGCGGATATCGAGATAATTTCGCTTGCCGTTTCCGGCCTGCACGAGATTGGGCTAGACGGATTCAGGCTACGGCTCGGACATCTGGGAGTGCTGCACAGCCTTTTGGACGAATTTGGTCTTTCGGAGCCTGCGAAACTGTTCATTATCAGCAATATGAACAGTCTCAAAGGAAGGCAAGTCAGATGTGGCAGGGCTGATGGAACGCGCGGGCGAGGTTGGGCTGCTGAGCGGCAGCGTGGATTTGGGGATTGGGCTGGAGACGGCCCTGGAGAGCATGAGCACGGAGGCAGCCGAGGAGTTTGTTCTCGGGGTTCTGAAGGAGTCGATGCCGGAACCAGTTGGAAGGCGGACGACCGATCAGATCGTCGCGCGTCTGCTGAGCAAGGTTAGGCAGGCCAACTGCCCGGATGCTTTCGAGCGCGCGTTGAATTTTGTTCGGACACTTTCGGGGCTTTGCGGGGAGCCGCAGGCTACGCTTCAAGCAGCGCGAGCCGCCGCCGATGAGTCCGGTGTAGATGCTGCGCCGTTGGATGAGATAGGGGCACTGCTGGAGCGTGCGCATTCGATAGACATTGGGTGTGGCATCTCGGAGTCGCGGGTATCGCTGGATATGGGTATGGCTCGCGGAATCTCGTACTACACGGGCGTAATCTTCGAGCTTGTTGCGGGTGATGATGGCACCGCGGCGCTGGGCGGCGGCGGGCGATACGACGGACTGGTACAGGCGTTAGGCGGCAGCGAGGGCGTTCCTGCGATGGGGTTTGCTTACAATGTGAATGAACTGCTTGATGCGCTGCTGGACAGCGGCATTTCGTCTATCAGGGCACAAGGCAACGGAGTGCAGACGAATGGTGTTTAACGGCAGCCTGCGACTTGCCATTTCGAGCGACGGCGCCCTGTTCGAGCCTACGCAGGCGTTTCTGCGCTCGTGCGGCATTGGCGTTTCTCGAAGCAATCCGCGCCGCTACATTGCCGATATTCCCGCGCTCCCGGGCGTGACCGTTATGTTTCAGCGCGGCGCAGACATCACGCCGAAGGTTGAAGAGGGCAGCGCGGATCTGGGCGTCGTGGGACTCGACCGCTATCTCGAAATGAGCAGCGAGGGTGCTGATAGCGGTGTAGTGATTGACGACCTGGACTTCGGCAGGTGCGAGTTGGTGCTAGGTGTGCCGGACTCGTGGGTGGATGTGGTGTCGCTTGCGGACCTTGCGGACTTGTCGATGGAGTTTCGGCAGCAGGGCAGGGACCTGCGAATTGTCACGAAGTACCCGCGGCTCGTGGAACGGTTCCTGCTGCGAAGCGGCATCAACCTGTTCTCGCTGGTGCATTCGAGCGGGACGTTGGAGGCAGCGGTAGCGATGGGCTTCGCGGACATAATCGCGGACGTTTCGGAGAGCGGCACGACGATGCGCGAAAACCGCCTCAAGACGATAAGCGGCGGTACGATTATTTCTTCACAGGCCTGCCTTATCAGCAATCAGCGGCTGTTGAGCGCGGATTCCGCAAAGTTAGACAGGGCAAAGAGGCTTGTGGACGTGATGGAGGGGCATCTTCGATCGCGCTCCTACTACAGTGTTACGGCGAATATGCGAGGGGAAACTCCGGAAGATGTCGCGCGGCAGGTACTGGAGCACACAGAGATAAGCGGGCTTCGGGGTCCGACAATCGCGAAGGTGTACTCACAGGACGGCGTGGGATGGTACGCCGCGACGGTCATTATCAGGAAGCGCAACCTAGCGGACGCCGTGGACAGGCTGCGGCAGGCGGGCGGAACGAGCGTAACGGTCTCTGACCTGAATTACGTGTTCAATTCCAACTGTGAGGCGCAGGACAGGCTGACGGGGGGTTAGTCAGCCTGTCAGTTTTATCGGTTCATCGTTGGTTCGGATTGTAAGCGTCATTGCGGGTTGAAACGATAACCGGTTGCGGCGAAAGAATCATTGGACAGGCTCAGGACGAGCGGGATGCAATGTAGAAGGAGGGGAAATTGCCGAATCCGCCAGTGCACATGAACCTTGCGCGCAAGGCTGCGGACCTCCTTCGTCACGACACGATCGACGCGAATATGGGTTATTACCTGATGGGCTCGACTTCGCCGGACATACGCGTGATTACTCGCAAGGATCGGTCGGTCTATCACTTCGCGCAACTGGATTCGAAGAGATAGGCACTGGCATCAACGGTCTGTTTCACCATCACCCGGAGTTGAGCGACGCAGAGGCGCACAGCGGCGCCACTCAGGCGTTCATGGCCGGGTACCTGACGCACCTGCTTGCGGATGAAACATGGATCGCGAACATGTTTAGGCCGTTCTTCGGCAACCGGGATGTGTTCGAAGACGGCGTGCTGGGGCTGGTGATGGACAGGGCGATGCAGCTGGAGCTCGACAGACGCTGCTGGCAGGAGATAGGACCGCTACGAGAATCGCTCGACATTGCGGTGGAGCAGGTGCAGGTCGAATTCCTGCCGGACGAGACGCTTGCGGACTGGGTACAGTGGGTGACATCTAATCTTGACCGCGGATTCTCGTGGGAGCGGCTTCGGTTCATGGCGCGGCGGATCGCTTCGGGAGAAGAGGGGCATCCGGCGCATGTGCTTGCGGACGCCTTCGTGAATGACTCATCGGACGGTATGGAGCGCATGTATGCGTACATCCCGCGCGGGAGTGAGGAAGATTATCAGGAGGCAGTAGTAGCATCGCTGACCAAAGCCATCGAGGCATACCTGCCATGAGGTCTTTCAGCGACATGCGTGGGACGTGGGGCTACGTCGACATTGACCGTCTTTCGAATAGAGGACGACTGCAATGAGGATAGTGCGCGGGCTTGAGGATGCGCGGAAAGTTCTTTGCGAAGGCAGGGGCCTGGGGCTGGACGATGTGCCGCAGTCGCTGCTTGAGGGCATAGCCGACCTATTCGGTGAGGCACTGACTCCGATGCAGGTGGTGGAGCGCATTGTGCGGCGGGTGAAGGCCGAGGGTGATGCGGCGGTGCGAGATTTCTGTGTATTGCTGGACGGCGCTTCGGCAGATGAGTTTGAGGTGCCGGGGGAGGCTATTGCGGAGGGACGCAGGCAGGCATCGGCAGAGGTCGTGGATGCGCTGGAGGCTGCGGCTGCACGGATTCGCAGCTATCACGAAGCATGCGTGAGTAGAGGGTGGACTGACTACAGCGCAGGTTACGGGCAGATCGTGAACGCGGTTGGGAGCGCAGGCGCGTATATTCCGGGAGGGACGGCGCTGTATCCTTCGACGGTGCTGATGACAGCGATTCCGGCGAAGGTGGCGGGTGTCCCGCAGGTGGTGATGTGTACGCCGACGAAGAACGGGGAACTGCCGCATCCGGCGGTGCTGGCGGCGGCGGACATCGCGGGCGTCGATAGGGTTTTCTGCATTGGCGGAGCGCAGGCTGTCGCGGCGATGGCATACGGGACCGAGAGTGTGCCGCGCGTTGACATAATCTGTGGGCCCGGGAACATCTTCGTTACGCTCGCCAAGAAGCTGGTGTATGGCGATGTGGGCATAGACGGGCTGTATGGGCCAACAGAGACGGTTGTGATAGGGGACAGCACTTCCAATCCGACGCTGTGCGCGGTGGATATGCTGGCGCAGGCTGAGCATGATACGCTGGCGCGTCCGGTGCTGATAACGACATCGGAGCGGCTTGCGGATGCGGTGGACGCGGAGATCACGGCACGGCTGGAGCGGCTTGACAGGGGGGCGATAGCGCGCGCGTCCACGCAGGAGCAGGGTTGCATAGCGCTCGTTGAGAGTATGGGACGACGCGCTGAAGTTGGCGAACGAATTCGCGCCGGAGCACTTGTGCCTGATGATGGATGGCGGATGGGAGTATCTGGGAAAGATAAGGAACGCGGGAGCGGTGTTCATCGGGGACTTCTCGCACGAGGTGCTGGGCGACTATGTTGCGGGGCCGAGCCATGTGATGCCGACGGCCGGGACAGCGCGGTTCAATTCAGGGCTGGGCGTGCATTCTTTCGTTAAGGTTAGCCCTGTGGTGGCGCTGAGTCCTGAGACATCTGCGACTATATCAAGGGTTGCGTCGGTGTTGGGTAGGGCTGAGGGCTTGACGGCGCATGCGGAGGCGGCGGAGATACGGGAAGAGCTTTTCTGAACTTGAACAAGCTTACATCGATGAACAGGATGAGGTGGATGTTCTTATCCCTTCACCCTGACCTCTCGCTGAAAGAGAGGGGACTGATTGAGAGGAGTCTCTGATGGCAGGAGAAATTAAGCGACTGCTACGACCGCATCTGGCAGATGTGCAGACATACGAGGCGGTTGATCCGCCGGAGTTGATTGCCCGGCGCGCGGGGATACCGGAGAGCGAGATCGTGAAGCTCAATGGTAACGAGAATCCCTACGGCGGCTCGCCGAAGGTTGCCGCAGCCGTTGCGAATGCTCCGGTGCATATTTATCCGGACCCGTTGCAGCGCAAGGTGCGGCAGGCGTTGAGCGAGTACACGGGCGCGGCTTCCGAAGAGATAATCGCGGGCGCGGGAAGCGACGAGCTAATCGACCTGATGTTCAGGCTATTCATGGAGCCGGGCGACAAGGTGCTGGATTTTGACCCGACATTCGCAATGTACGGCTTCCTTGCACGAGTTGCGGGCGGCGAGACTGCGATGGTACAGCGGGACGAGGTGTTCGACATAGATGTGTCGGCTGCGAGGGATGCGCTGGACGATAGGACGAAGATAATCTTTTTGGCTTCGCCGAACAACCCGACGGGCAACCTGACTCCGAGAGAGCATGTTCTTGAACTGCTAGATACGGGGCGCATCGTGGTGGTGGATGAAGCGTACTACGAATTCTGCGATTCGACGGTGGCGGATATGGTATCGGAGCACGAGAACCTTGTGGTGCTGCGGACGCTGAGCAAGTGGGCCGGACTCGCGGGGCTGCGCATCGGCTACGGCATCATGAACGAGGAACTGGTGCAGCATGTGATCGACATCAAGCAGCCGTACAACATCAGCGTTGCGGCTGAGGCTGCGCTGCTGGCGTCGCTGGAGGACTCGCAACTGCTGCTGATAATGTGGGCAAGATCGTTGCGGAGCGGGATAGGATGACAGGTCTGCTCGATGAGATTGCGGGCGTAACGCCGTGGCCATCGTCGGGGAACTTTGTGCTGTGTCGTCTGGAATCGGCGGAGAAGGCCAAGCAGGTCTTTGAAATGCTCGCGCAACGAGGGATAGTCGTGCGTATGTTCAGCTCGGAGCGGCTGCGGGACTTCTTCCGCGTGGCGGTGGGGACGCCCCAAGAGACAGACATTTTCGTGAATGCCCTGAGGGAAGTGATATAGTCCATCAGTGCGTCAGTATTTCGGACTATCAGTGAGATTGCCCGTCATTTCAGTTTGCTTCTACAATTCAGTCATAAACTCTTATCAAGGGAGAAATTCCTAAAGTGCGTGTATCAAAACTGAGCCGCGAGACTAGGGAGACGCAGATTAGCGTCGAGGTGAACCTGGACGGCAGGGGAGAATACGAGATCGACACGGGGAACGGGATGTTCGATCACCTGCTGGCACAGTTGTCGCGGCATGGGCTGATTGACCTGAAGGTGCAGGCGCGGGGCGATACGCATGTGGGCTGGCATCACCTCGTCGAAGATACGGGCATCGTGATGGGCAGGGCGCTCAAAGGATGCGGTAGGCGATGCGAGCGGCATACGTCGGATGGCGCACTCGTATGTGCCGCTGGACGAGGCTCTGGCACTGACGGTGGTGGACTTCGGCGGGCGCGGGTATGCGGTGATCGACGCGGCACTGTCAGACAGCGACCTTGGCGCGCTGCCGGCGGAGCTGATACCGCACTTCCTGGAAACGATGGCCCGCGAGGGCGCGTTCAACCTGCATGTGCGGATACTGGCGGGGAGCAGCAACCATCACAAGGCGGAGGCGCTGTTCAAGAGCCTCGCGCGGTCGATGCGGGCTGCGCTGGAGGTGGATGAGAGGTTGGGTGGGGAGGTTGCGAGCACGAAGGGGAGTATTGGGTAGGGAGAACTGTGGTCGGGCGGCCGGATGACAATGGCGTTTCTAAGCGTACGAGTCTCGTACCAGGTTAGAAACCAAGACGTCTCCGTTATCAAGTAGTCTGTATGTGGCGAGCCATTCTCCGTCAGAGAATATTGTCACATCTATGCTGGGGATATAGTGCTTGAATGGCCATCGGGTTCGGGGTCAAAGAGTATCGCGAATAACAGACACCACACTAGGATGCCGTGGCCGTCCATTCGAGTGTTAAGTTCTTCAGACAGCAGCAACTCCGCAATGTGCTCACTTGTCAAACCGGAGTCTCCGCTTAATTTCGTCGATTGGATAGCTAATATAGTTGCCGCGTTCGATTTCCGCGAAGCCGTCCATCATTTCGGATCGAAATAGCGGTGACTTGAGCATTTCTTCTAGTTCTTCCTTAGTTCGCGGCCTTTTGCCTTCCACTGCGAATCTGTCTTGATCGGCTGTCATGGGGACTGCTCCTTACGGGATTCGGCTCTTATTGATTCTCGCCGTGGGGAAGCCTCACACTTTGGTAGTTGGCTTTCAAGAACATTATAGCATGGACTAAGTTAATTCCAACCCCCAGTCTGAGTTAATGCGATGTTCAAGAGTCTCGCACGGTCGATGCGGGCTGCGCGGAGCGTAGATGGCGGCTCTGGTGGGGAGGGAGGTGCGAGCACGACGGGACGTATGATGTAGGGAGGTTTTGCAGTTACGGTAGCGAGGTCAGCGGACGGTGTAGGCGCGCGGTCTATCGAGTGTTGGGTTAGTGCAACCGCGAGTGTTGCCACTTAGCTGGTAGTCGCCACATCCTCGTGTCCTTGCCAAAACATGTGGGTTAAAGAATCGTTTTGTCTCTCTTTACTCTCGGACATGACGAAATTCCGTCCTGGCGCCCTGTAAATCTTTGTACCGAACGTAACCATCTAACTGCACCAGGTATAGGATCCATTGATCAATCGCCCGCCAGTCATCAATTTCGATGGGCGGCGTCCCGATGCCAAGTGCATTCAGATCGGACTGCAATCGACTCAATTCAAACAATGTGTTGGTTCTTTGTTCTGTGCGCTCTGGAGGTGACATCAGCGAAGTGGATGGTGATTGATTAGCGTGTAACAGTGATTTACATCCTCTAATGCGCCTCTGCATTGCTGAAAACTGTCGCTGTTGGGTCCGCCACTTAGCTTGTCAACCAGCCACCTTACAACCAGATATGTGCTTCTCAAAACACCAATACCAGCAACTGTTGCTATGAATAGCAGATATGGGGTCTCATCAGCAACCAGCGGGAAAAAGCTATCAACGAAAGAAGACAGGTATTTCCAACCCGTAAACTAGGTCAACCAGAAGGCCTAAGAATGTAGCCGTGGCTACGAATGTCGTCGGAGGCGAATTCAGCAATTTGCGAATAGCAGTCATACAGATATGCTAGACTTCGTCCACTCGCTGGTCAACCAAGTGACCCAGATAGTTGAAAGAATTCGCTTAGCATTTTAAGAGTAGTTCCTCAATATATTCGCCGAAGATAACTAGGTGAAATAAATCCATTTATGTCGTCGGGGACAAGAGACGGAATTGTGTTGGGGATTCTCGCGACTATGTCGCTAAAGACGGATGACGAGCTTTGAAAGACACTACTTCAAGCAAACCTATTGGTTAAGTAGGTCTAGGTCGAAGTGGTAGTCTTCGATGACGGGGTTGGCGAGGAGCTTGTCGCACATCTGGCGGACCTGGTCGGAGGCGTGGGCTTCGGTGTCGGCCTCGAGGGTGATTTCCATGTACTTGCCGGCGCGGACGCTGGTTACGCTGTCGAAGCCGAGTGGAGGAGTCCGCCGCGGATGGTCTGGCCCTGGGGGTCGCTGACGGTGGGGCCGAGCTGGATATAGACTTTGGCGAGGTACATTGCGCTCCTAGCGGACGGGCTGACATGGATGGGCAGGATGAAAGGGACTTTCACCCTCACCCTAGCCCTCTCCCAGAGGGAGAGGGGACTTATTGGTTGGTGTTGGCTTCGATGAAGGCGCGGATGGCGGCATCGTCGAAGTCTTCGAGTGTCTGATTGGCGTCTGCGCCGACAAGCAGGATCTTTGCCGTCATGTCCGTCTTGGCGGTGAGGCCTATCGGGGAGTCGGCTGCGTCGAAGTCATTTTTGATGGTGGAGAGCTGCGCGACAAGTCGTCACAACCGTCGGGGCAGTTGTAGAAGATGTCCACGCCGCCGAGCACGGGATTAGGTGGCAGCGGGGGAGCGACGTTTTGGTCGGGCTGCACGCTTTCGGGAGTAACGATTTGGACATCGGTTACTTCAATCTTCGGCTGCGACTGGGCCGCGCCGGTCTCAAAGATGTCCCGATTGCCAGCGCCGCCGAATAGCGCGTCAAAGGGCAGACCGGGCAGGATCAGGCCCAGGATCAGCAGGAGGGCAACGGTGCTTGCCGCAGTTAGTCCGCCAATCGCGAGCAGTCTCCTGCGACGCGCATGTCGCCTTCTGCGGGCTGCGCGGAGCTGGGTGGGGGTTGGTCTTTTGAACTAGTGGTCATTGATTCTCCACCGAGTGGTCATAAGTCTTCTGACCATGCTTTTAGGTTACTTCCAGCGAGTTCATTGAGCAGACAGGAAGCATATTCAATTGTCTAGGATAGCGAGTTACCCGTCAACATGCGGTATGCCTCCAGGTAGCGCTCGGCAGTGCTGGCAACTACGTCGCCTGGCAGTTCGGGCGCCGGCGGCTCGTGGTCCCAGCCGGCATCGTCCAGCCAGTCGCGGACGAACTGCTTGTCGTAGCTGGGCTGCGATTTGCCGGGGGCGTAGCCGTCCATATCCCAGAAGCGGCTGGAGTCGGGTGTGAGCACCTCGTCGATCAGCGAGATTTCGCCGTCGATGATGCCGAACTCGAACTTTGTGTCGGCGATGATGATGCCCTTTTCCTTCGCGTAGTCGCGCGCGGTGGCATAGACATCAATGGAGCCTGCGCGAGTCGCTCCGTGAGTTCCTTGCCTACGAGGTCTTCCATCTGGGCGACGGTGATGTTCTCGTCGTGACCTTCCTCAGCCTTGGTGCTGGGAGTGAAAGAGCGGTTCCGGGAACATGTCGCCATCGCGCAAGCCTTCGGGCATTGGCTGGCCTGCGACTGTGCCGGTTCTGCGATACTCGGACCATGCGGAGCCGGTGATGAAGCCGCGCACGATGCACTCGACGTCGATGCGCTCGGCGCGCTTGACGACCATCGAGCGGCGGGCAATCTCGTGCGACAGATCGAGGTCGCTGCGGTCTGTGGCGAGCGAGACGAAGTGGTTCGGGATGATGTGGGCGGTCTTGTTGAACCAGAACTCTGATATTTGGCAGAGCACTGCGCCCTTCTCAGGGATGCCAGTGGGAAGCACGACGTCGAAGGCGGATATGCGGTCTGTTGCGACCATGAGCAGCAGGCCTTCGCCGAGGTCGTAAGTGTCGCGCACCTTGCCCTGATATAGGCGGTTGGGCAGGGTGGTTTCTCGAATTGTGGTCATTAAATTCTCCTAACATCGTTGAACAGTATGGGAGGGATACCCGTCAGCGAACATGGCTTAACTGCTCGCTTCCATCCTAACCTTTCCCCTTGGGAGAAGGCACTACTGATTAGCGGTTTTTCAGGCCTTGGCGATAGTCGTCGTAGGCGGCGCGGATGCTGTCGTGCTTGATGCCGAGAATCTGCGCTGCGAGGAATGCGGCGTTGCGCGCGCCCCAAGAGCCGACAGCGACGCAGGCGACGGGAATGCCCGGGCGGCATCTGCGCGATGGCGTAGAGGGCGTCGACGCCGTTGAGGTCGCTGCTGGGCAGGGGAACGCCAATGACGGGCAGGGTGGTCCAGGACGCTACGACGCCGGGAAGCCCAGCCGAGCCGCCCGCCGCGGCTATGAGCACTTCGATGCCCCTATCGCGCGCGCCGGTAACATACTCCATGACCTTCTCAGGGGTGCGGTGCGCTGAGGCTACCGTAACTTCGTTCTCGATTCCCATCTGGTCGAGCACGCTGACCGTTTCGGCGATTGTCGCCTCGTCGGAGCTGCTTCCCATTATGACGCCTACGAGTGGCATTTTTCGTGTCTCCTTTCAGGAGGTTGGTTGCTCATAAATCAATATAAGCGGCTTTGTCGCTATACCGCAATGGATTCCTGCTTTCGCAGGTATGACGAATAGGGAGGGGCTATAGCGCGGCTATGTCGTTGCGATAGAAGCCGTCCTTGAATGTGATGCGTTTGATGTTGTCGTAGGCGGTGGCGCGCGCTTGCTCAAGTGTGTCGCCGAGCGCGGCTACGGTGAGCACGCGACCGCCGGCGGTTACGGTGGCGTCGTCGGCAAGCGATGTGCCGGCGTGGAACACGATTGCGTCCTGGTCAACGGCGTCGATGCCACTGATTGCGTAGCCGGTGGTGTAGGAGGCGGGATAGCCGCCAGAGGCAGCGACCACGCCGACGCAGGCGCGGCTGTCCCACTCAATCTTCATGCCTTCAAGCTCGCCGCGCGCCGTTGCGAGGAGCACTTGCGCGAGGTCTGTTTCGAGACGCGGCAATATAACCTGTGTCTCCGGGTCGCCAAGCCTGCAATTGAACTCCACAACTCTGGGCCCGTCTGTGGTGAGCATCATGCCGAGATAGAGCAGGCCGCGATATGGGCATCCCATGTTCACCAAGCCTTGGGTGACAGGCTCCATAATGGCGCTGCGAACCTGTGATTCGATAGCGGCGTTCCAGTGCTGCGGAAGGGGTGGACTGAAGCTGCCCATGCCTCCGGTGTTGGGGCCGGTGTCGCCGTCGCCGACGCGCTTGTAGTCGCATGCCGCAACCATCGGTGAGACATACGCGCCGTCAACGAAGGCGAAAACGCTGACCTCCTGGCCTTCCAAGCACTCTTCAATGACAACGGTGTCGCCTGCCGCGCCAAATTGCCGTTCGAGCATTGACTCGCGTATGGCTGTGTATGCCTGTTCGCGGGTCTGCGCGACGGTTACGCCTTTGCCGGCGGCGAGACCGTCAGCCTTGACCACGATAGGAATAGGGCAGGTGTCGAGGTGCGCTCTGGCTCCTTCAAAGTCAGTGAAGGTATCGGACATTGCGGTGGGAACGGCGCAGTCCGCCATGAGCGACTTAGCGAAAGCCTTGCTGCTTTCGATGCGGGCTGCGTCTTTGGTGGGGCCGAAGGCGAGTAGCCCGGCACTCGTGAAAGCATCGACGATGCCCTCTGCTAGCGGGGCTTCGGGTCCCACCACTGTAAGGTCAATGGCGTTGTCACAAGCAAAATCGAGAAGAGCGGGAATGTCGTCTGCGCCAATAGGGACATTTCGGGCGACGGAGTAGGTTCCAGCGTTGCCCGGCGCGACGAACAGCAGCCCGACCATTGGACTTTGGGACAGCTTCCAAGCAATGGCGTGTTCGCGCGCGCCGTTGCCGACTAGAAGGACATTCATTGCGCCTGCGACCTCTTGATGAGTTTGCCTGATGAAGGTTCGACTATGTGAGTCTGCAATGTCTTTTTGTCGTTTTTGTCAGCCACTTCGCAGCAGGCATTTGCGCCGATCGCGTCTAGCTCGAGCAATGTGCCCATTGCGACGAAGGCGACATCAGCCATTTCGTCTGCTGCGCGGTCAAGACTGGCTTGGTTAAGCTCTCTAGCGTGTTCGCCCGTCTCCTCCATCAGGAAGGCGAGGCGTGTGCAGAGGCGGGGAAATGGATCGTCGTGATGAGATTTGTCGTTTAGGTTCGGTATGTCAAAGCGGGCATGAAAGTCGTACACGCTTTCGGCGAGGCGACGAAACGGCTGTTACGAATTCTTCTCTGGTTATGGCGTCTGTTGATGCTGGCACAGCCCGACTACTCCCACTCGATTGTACCCGGCGGCTTGCTGGTAATGTCGTATACGACACGGTTGACGTCTGGCACTTCGTTGGCGATTCGGTTGGAGATGCGCCCCAGCACATCGTATGGGATGCGCGCCCAGTCCGCTGTCATGGCGTCCTCGCTGCTGACGGCGCGGATGGCGATGACATGTCCGTAGGTGCGGAAGTCGCCGGTTACACCCACGCTGCGCGTGTCAGTCAGGACGGCAAAGCTCTGCCAGATTTCGCGGTAGAGGTCGTTCCTGCGGACTTCATCCATTACGATGGCATCTGCCTCCTGCAGGACATTCAGCTTGTCGTGGGTGACTTCGCCGATGATGCGAATTGCGAGGCCAGGACCGGGGAAGGGCTGCCGATAAACGATCTCTTCAGGCAAGCCAAGCTCCAAGCCCACACCGCGCACCTCATCCTTGAACAGGTAGCGCAGCGGCTCGACAAGGCTGAGCTTCATGTGCTCAGGCAGTCCGCCGACATTGTGATGGGACTTAATTTTCGCGGACACGGAGTTATCCGTCGTCTCGCTTTCGATGACGTCAGGATAGAGCGTACCTTGTGCGAGGAAGTCAACGGCGCCGATACGGGCGGCTTCCTCGTCGAAAACGCGAATGAACTCTTCGCCGATAATTTTGCGCTTCTGCTCGGGGTCTATGACGCCCCGGAGCGCGCCGAGGAAGTTCTCGGTGGCATCGGCGTACACCAAGTTCGCATTGAAGTGGCGCTGGAATGTGTCGCGAACAGCCTGCGGCTCACCCTTGCGCATCATTCCGTTATTCACGAAGATGCACGTGAGGCGGTCGCCAATGGCGTTCTGGATGAGCGCAGCAACCACAGCGGAATCAACACCGCCGGACAGGGCGCATATGACCTTGCCGCCGCCGACCTGCTCGCGCACCCGCTCGATGCTGTCACTGACGAAGTTTCCGGGTGTCCAGAGAGGAGCGCAGCCGCAAATTTGGTATAGGAAGTTCTCGATGATCGTTTTGCCCTGAGGAGTATGGACGACCTCTGGGTGAAACTGTAATCCCAACATACCCGCGCCGTTGCCCATCACGACGATTGGCGAGTTTTCGGAGCGGGCGAGGGACCGGAAGCCGGGCGGCGTTTCGCTAATCTGGTCGCCGTGGCTCATCCACACGGACATGGATTGAGGAAGGTCTTTGAAGATAGGGTCATCGCCTGCGCTTCGTTGCATGACGGCGTGACCGTACTCTTTGCGAGAAGTAGGAGCCACCTTGCCGCCGAGTTGGTGCGCCATAGCCTGCATACCGTAGCAGATGCCGAGCACGGGCAGTCCGGAGTCATACACCCAGGAAGGCGCGAGCGGTGCATTGGCCTCATAGACGCTGGCGGGACCGCCTGAAAGTATGATTCCTTTAGGATTGAGGGACGCGACCGAATCCCAATCGGCGGTGTGCGGGATAATCTCGCAATAGACGCTGCTCTCGCGCACTCGGCGAGCGATAAGCATGCTGTACTGCGAACCGAAATCTATGACAACGACCGACTCACGCTGAACATGCGCGGCGGCGTTGACATCTGCGGCAGAACTACGGCTAGTCAAGTCTGTTTCTTTCAGCATTTACCTGATAGTTGAGGCGTCTCTCAGCTCACACAAAGTGCTTAAAATCTACCATCTATGCTATACTAATTCAACCTTGAGTTGGGACGCCGATGTACGATTTACGCCTAGATGACGCCCTGCAGAGGCAAATCGAAACTGCAGTAGATGTGCTTGCAAATGGGGGCGTCGTCGGCATTCCCACCGATACGCTCTACGGACTTGCGGCCTGCGCGTTCAACGAATCGGCAGTGCTGAAAGTATTTGAGCTGAAGGGGCGTCCTGATGGAATGGCCCTGCCATTGCTTCTGTCTGACGTAGAGGATGCGAAGAGGTGCGCCGAGGAAGTGCCGCCCGACGCAATGACGCTCGCCGAGCATTTCTGGCCGGGGGCGTTGACATTGGTGCTGCGAAAGGGCGCGGAAGTGCCCTACGCGGTTACGGCAGGCTTGGATACGGTTGCACTGCGAGTGCCAGACCATCCTGTGCCCAGGGCAGTTTCCAGGGCGCTGGGTGCGCCGATCACGGGAACGAGCGCGAACCTGAGCGGCAGGCCCGGGCTGACGAGCGCGGCGGCAGTGAGGGCAGAATTCGGCGATGCGATCGACTTCGTGCTGGATTGGGGCGATGCGCCGGGAGGCGTGGCATCGACTATACTGGACTTGTGCGGCGACGAGATGCGAGTGCTTCGGGAGGGTGCGGTGTCGCAAGAAGATATTGACGCAGCGCTGAATCAGAATAGTGAGTAAGGATGATTCTGATGACCTCCAGGAACTTCAAGTACAGTCAAGAAGAACACGCGCGATTGGGCGGCGAAATGTATGAGTCCAAGGTGCGCCTGTTGGTGGAAGAGGGGAATAAGGGAAAGATAGTCGCCATCGACATCGAAAACGGCGACTACGAGGTTGACAGAGACACACTTGCGGCGTCCCATCGCCTCATTGAGCGCAATCCCCACGCGCAGATTTGGTGCGTCCGCATAGGCCATGTCGCAGTACATAGTCTTCCCTGGAGACGGATGACCAGCGGGAGGGAAGAACAGATATAAGTTGATTGCAGGAACAGTAAAGACTAACCTCGAAGCGGTCGTGAGTATTAGCGTTCACGGACCGGACAACAGCAGGTTAGAAGTTGAAGCGACGATTGATACGGGATTCAATGGATACTTGACACTTCCAAGAAATGTAATATCTGAACTAGGACTCCAATCAAATATGCGGCATGAAGTCGTACTTGGAGACGGCAGCCAGCAATTTGTAGATGTATTCGACGGACTGGTTGAATTGGGAGGGGAAACTGTAGCTGCCCTCGTAGAGTCGGCTGAAATTCAACCTCTGGTCGGGATGGCGTTGATGCGAGGATATGGGCTTCAGATCGAGGTTGTGCGTGGCGGTACGGTCAGACTTGAACCCCTGTAACGATCACGGCAAGCAAGGTTTTTGGTGAAAGATTGGCTAAATCAACATACATTGATGAATTGACGGCACGGGTTGATTCCGAGCTTGAGGCGATCGTCAACGAGCGTGGCTTTCCGCTGTATGACATGATGGGCTACCATCTGGGCTGGAGAGGGGCGCCTGGACATGCCGATGATGTTCCGAGGCGGCAAGAGCGGATGCACGGCGTGCTGACGTTGCTTGCAAGCACCGCCGTCGGGGGTGATGTGGAGTCGTGCCTGCCTGCCGCTGCCGCGATTGAGCTTGTGGACAAGTTCGCTGAGATTCATGACGATGTTCAGGGAGGCAACCCGCAGCGCAACGAGCGCGACGCTGTGTGGTGGGTGTGGGGCCCGGCGCAGGCAATAAATACAGGCGACGGAATGCATGCGCTAGGTAGGCTGGCGCTGCTGCGACTCGCTGAGCGTGGAGTTTCAGATGAGCGAGTGTTCGACATCGTTCGGCTGGTGGACAGGGCGAGTTTGCGAGCATGTGAGGGACGTTTCCGGGACCTGGAGGCGCAGGAGCGCATCGACCTGAGCGTGTCCGCGTATATGGATATGGCCGCGGACAAGGCGGGCGCACTCGCCGGGTGCGCGATGCAGGTCGGGGCTCTGGTTGGCGGCGCGAGACGGGAGCACGGCGGAGGCGCTGGCGACATGCGGCGAGAAGTTGGGGGTCGCGCTGCAAGTGCGCTCAGACCTCGCGGCGATATGGGGAGACGGCGAAGGTTCGCAGCCGAATGTGGAAGTTCTGAACAAGAAAAAACTCATCCCGGTCGTCTATGCGCTTGAGAACGCTTCGATAAGCGAGAAGCGCGCGATGGGCGAAATATACTTCAAGCGGGTGCTCGAACCCGATGACGCCGTGAAACTTCGCGAGGTCATAGAGGGACTGGGTGCGCGCGCCGCTTGCGAGGAAATGGCTGCCGGATTCATAGACGAGGCGACGGCAGCCGTAGAGTGTCCGGGTGTTGCAGTTGAAGGCAGATCGCGCATCCAAGAGTACATCGACTCGCTCGTGGGGTAGGGGAATGGCTGAGAAAAAGAGCGTTCGGGATGTGGATTTGCGCGGTCAGACCATTCTTGTCAGGGTTGACTACAATGTCCCGTTCAGGCTGGGAACGACAGAAATTTCGGACGACGGGCGAATTCGGGCATCCCTGCCAACGCTACGCTACCTGCTAGAGCGCGATTGCAAGCTAGTGCTCTGCTCGCACTTAGGACGCCCCAAGGGCCAGTTGTCGAATCGCTGCGACTGGCACCAGTGTCGCAGCGGGTAGGGCAGCTTCTAGGCATCCCTGTGAAGCAGTGCCTGAATACGACAGGCAATGAGGTTCGAGCGGCGGCTGATTCACTCGCACCAGGTGAAGTGTTGATGCTTGAGAACACGCGCTTTCATCCCGGTGAAGAGGGCAACGACGCAGAATTCGCGCGCGAACTGGCATCGCTGGCGACGCTGTACGTCAACGATGCATTCGGAGCGGCGCACCGGGCGCATGCATCGACAGAGGGGGTCGCGCGATTCCTTCCATCCGTGGCCGGACTGCTTATGGAGAGGGAGCTGCGTTTCCTCGGGAGCGCGCTGGATGCGCCGCGCCGGCCATTTGCCGCGATACTGGGCGGCGCAAAGGTGTCGGAGAAAATCCGAGTGCTGGAAAATTTGGCAGGCAAGGTTGAACTCCTGCTAATAGGGGGAGGCATGGCGGGGACATTCATCAAGGCGCTCGGGCACTCGGTCGGCGATTCGCTGGTCGAGGATGACAGAGTGTCGTTTGCCAGAGTCCTCATTGAACGGTCGAGGCAGGGTGAAGTGAAGCTAATGCTGCCCGATGATGTTGTGGTCGCTGATGAGTTCGCCGAGGACGCCAACAAGCTCACGGTTGCCGTTGATTCGATTGCGAGCGGCTTTATGATCATGGACATTGGGCCGAACACTGGGCGGCGATACAGCGAGGCACTTCGGAACTGCAAGACGGTGATGTGGAACGGGCCGATGGGCGTCTTCGAGTGGGAGGCGTACTCGCAGGGGACGCGCACGATAGCCGAGACCCTTGCATCGCTTGATGACGCGACGACTGTGCTGGGGGCGGTTCCACGGCAGAGGCGGTTTCGGCGCTGGACTTGTCGGACAAGATGACGCATGTATCGTCCGGAGGCGGGGCATCGCTTGAATTCATGGAGGGCAGGGAACTGCCGGGAGTCGCGGCGCTGCCTGATAGGTAAGTCTCAATTACTGGGGCGGAAGTGCTCTGTCTCAGACTCAGTAACGCACAATACAGACACGAACGGACGGCGACCTGTGCGCTCTTTACGAGTGTGATGATATGGGATAGAGTTGTCCCCTGTGTCAGCATGAGTATATCCCTGTACTAATCTCACTGATTACTGCGAAAATTAGGCGATATGATAACCGAAAAATACCTTGCGTCTGGGTTAGCTTAATGATTGACCTTCCATTTCTCGCCGAATATGCCGTCCTACCGAGTCCAAGATCGTGCTGCTTGTCGTGGACGGGCTTGGCGGCGCGCCCCATCCTGAAACGGGAAAATCCGAACTGGAGACGGCTGAGCTTCCGAATCTGGACAAATTGGCGCGGCGCAGCGCGGCCGGACTGACGATGCCTGTTATGCCGGGAATCACGCCTGGAAGCGGGCCCGGGCACATGGCGCTCTTCGGATACGACCCTGTGAAATATCTCATGGGGCGCGGTGTACTGGAGGCGCTGGGTATTGACGTGGAACTTGGGGCAGGGGACTTAGCGGCGCGCGGCAATCTCTGCACATTGGATTCCAACAACAATATTGTTGACAGAAGGGCAGGGCGGATACCCACTTCGGAGAGCGCGCCTCTCGTGGAGATGCTGAACGATATCGAGATCTCCGGAGTGGATGTCAAGGTGTATCCGGTGCAAGATTATCGTTTTGTGCTGGTTATGCACGGGGATGATCTGGACGACAAGATAAGCGAGACCGACCCGCAGATGGTGGGCGTCATGCCGCTTGAAGCCAGGGCGCTCAACGATGCGTCCGAGCGGGCGGCGGCTCATGTGAGGGCGTTCGTTACGGCGGCCGGGCGAAGTGCTGCGAGAGCGGGAGTACGCGAACATGGCGATGCTGCGCGGGTTCTCGCTGCTGCCGAAGTTGCCTGTCTTCGGTGAGCGATACAGTCTCAATCCGGGGGCAGTGGCCGCGTACCCGATGTATCGCGGGCTGGCGAAGATCGTTGGGATGCGGGTGATACCGACCGGCATGACCTTCGACGACGAACTGGATACGCTGGAAGAGCATTTCGAGGAGCACGACTTCTTCTTCCTACACTATAAGCCGGCAGATGCGGCAGGGGAGGACGGCGACTTCAGCGCGAAAGTACGGGCATTGGAGGCTCTTGACGCCCGTATTGCTCGCTTGCTGGAATTGCAGCCGGATGCGCTCGTGGTTGCGGGCGATCACTCTACACCCGCTATTCTAGGCGCGCACAGCTGGCATGCGGTGCCGCTGCTCATTCATTCGGCTTGGACCAAAGGCGAGGGGATAGAGGCATTCGCCGAGCGGGCGTGCGCGACAGGGTCGCTCGGGCGCATTCCGGCGACGGAGGTCATGATGCTGGCAATGGCTCATGCGGGTAAACTATTGAAATATGGACCTTGAGCGAATCGCCATCTATTTGCCTGACCATGAAAATATTGACGCTACAGTCGTGTTAATATTATCATATTTATACATTGCTAAACATCCGCTACATCCGCGTCTCGAAGGATTAATATGTCTATATTAATGATTGTCGGCAATTGGAAGATGAACACGACGGTTGCCGAGGGTGAGGAGCTTGCTGCCGGGATATTATCGGGTTTACCGCATGGTACGGGCGTGGAGGTGGTGCTGTGCCCGCCGTTTGTGTCGCTGGTTTCATAAAGCGAGGCATTGAAAGATAGCGACATATCGGTTGGGGCGCAAAACATATATCATGGAGCGGACGGGGCGTACACAGGGGAAATATCTGCTGCCATGCTTGCGGACATATGTCGATATGATGTGTCGGGCACTCAGAACGGCGCAGCATATTTGGCGAGACAGACGAGGCTGTCAATCTGAAGGTCAAGGCGGCGCTTGGTGTGGGCATGACTCCGATACTGTGCATCGGCGAGAGTCTTGATGAGCGGAATGGTGGAGATGCGGAAAGTGTCGTGGAGTCGCAGGTCGAGAGCGGGGCTTGAAGGCGTCGAAGTTGGCTCAGGGGTAGTTGTTGCTTATGAGCCGGTGTGGGCGATCGGAACGGGGCAATCGGCGTCGCCCGAGATAGCGCAGGCGATGATGGCGCACATCCGGGGACGCTTGCGGACATTGGCGGCGAGATGCTGCGGCTGCTGTGCCGCTGCTGTATGGAGGGAGCGTCAATGCAGGGAACATCGGCGGATACCTCAGTCAGCCGGACATCAATGGAGCACTGGTTGGGGGAGCGAGTCTTGATGCGGGGTCGTTCGTGGAGATCGTGAAGGTTGCGGCGGAGGCAACGGGATAGACAGGAAGCAGAGGATGGGGTAGGGGGATGGCGACTAAGCTGCTGGTGATTGTCGGGCCTACGGGGGTGGGGAAGAGCGCGTTGGCGATGCGATTGGCGCGGGAATTTGACGGCGAGATCATCGGGGCGGACAGCCGGCAGGTCTATCGGCACATGAGCATCGGCACGGCAAAGCCATCGGACGCCGATCGCGCCGAGATTCCGCATCATTTGGTTGACTCCATCGAACCAGACGAGCGGTACTCGCTTGCGCTGTTTCTGCGCGACGCCAAACAAGCATACATAACGCAAAAAAATGCGCGGACGCCTGCCCCTGGTGGTAGGGGGGACCGGGCAGTATGTGTGGGGGTTGCTTGAAGGATGGCAGGTTCCTGAAGTAAACCCAAACGCAAAATGCGGGAAACGCTGGAATTGCGGCTGGAATCCGAGGGCGTGGAGGCACTTTACGAGGAGCTGCGGCGGGTGGACGCTGAGGCGGCGGAGCGGTGGACGGGCGCAATCCTCGGCGGGTGATTCGGGCGCTGGAAATTGCACTTTCTCGCAAGGACGATGCACATTCGCGGGGCGATGACGACGAGCGGCCGCGCAAGATTCCGCCGGACTACGATGCAATGGTGGTGGGGCTGACGATGGAGCGGTCGGCGCTGTATGAGCGGATCGACGCACGGATTGACGCGCAGATGGCGGCGGGATGGCTGGATGAGGTGCGCGGACTGCGGGAACTCGGGTATGGATTGGAGCATGCTGCGCTGTCGGGGCTGGGGTATGGCGAACTGATGCGGCACCTGGACGGGGAGATGGCGCTCGACGAGGCGGTGCAGCGGATCAAGTACACGTACGCACAGGTACGCGCGGCAGCAGTACAACTGGTTCCGGCTGGGCGACGAGCGGATACGATGGCTGGATGCGCCGGTGGGGGATGCGGAGTATGAGGGGTTGGTGGGGGAGTGTGCGGGAGTGGCTGAGGGTTGACGGGGGATAACAGGATGAGCAAGATGGATAGGATGGGAATGGTGGTGGATGTGATACACTTGTTCTTGAAATGGCTTGGGAATTCTGATTGAGGAGACTGTGGAGTGATAGAGGCTATCCAGTCATTGTCATTTTCGATGCAAGCTAATCCGAGAATATATGCCTTGCTGTTGGGGTCTGGTGTGTCTCGGCCGGCCGAAATTCCTACAGGCTGGGAAATTGTGGTTGACCTGCTGGGGAAGCTTGCGGCGAGTATGGGTGAGGAAGGCGTGACTGACGTTGAGGAATGGTACTTCGAAAAGTATCAGGAATTCCCAGATTACTCGAAAATGCTTGATGCTCTTGCCAGAAAACCGGGGGAACGCCAGCAGCTATTGCGTCCGTATTTTGAACCTAGTGACGAGCAGCGTCGGGAAGGAGTGAACAGCCCCAAAAACGTGAGGCTCACAAGCGAATGAGCTCGCTGGTGGCACAAGGCTTCATAAAGGTCATTGTAACCACGAACTTTGATCGACTCATAGAAAGAGCGTTGGAAGATGAAGGCATTGTACCAACAGTCTTGAGTACGGAAGAACAGGTCAAGGGTGCTCTCCCTCTTGACCATATCAACTGCTGCATTTTCAAAGTTCATGGGGATTATATGGACCCCGACATTCGCAATACTCAGTCTGAACTTGACGAGTATCCTCAAGAATACGAAAAGCTTCTTGATTCTTGACCGAATTTCGACGAGTCATGTGGCCTCATAGTTTGCGGCTGGTCCGGAAGATGGGATATAGCTTTGCGTAATGCGCTGTTCCGTGCACGAAGCCGTCGATTTTCCACTTACTGGGCATCATTTGGCGAACCGACTGACGATGCTCAGCGTCTTATAACCCAACGTAGCGCGCATGTAATGCCAATAGACAGTGCCGATTACTTCTTATCCACACCATACCAACCGACTCGTGACCACCTCGATGAGAGTATTCGAGAAGACGTCATTCCGCTTTCAACTGAGGCGGCTGTCTCAAGCCTGAAACGCTATCTTTCTAGTCCAGAATACGGGATACAGCTTTCGGACCATGTTGATGCATGTGTAGATGAAGTTGTAAGAGCCACTTCAGGCCAAGGATTCGAAGTTCACGCTCCGCAACCAGATAAAGTGTCGATTTCTGCGCGGTTACGTCGGTACGAGTCCGCTTGTACGACCCTCTTGTCAATGGCCGCTGTTGGAGGGCTATGGGCCGACGATGCGCAAACTCGATGTATGATTGGAGAGCCTTGAACGGTTGTCAGCGACAACTCCTGTTACAGGGACGATTTACACGGTATGGCGCGACCTGAGTTTGTATCCTGGAGTCTTGCTTCTTTACGCATTAGGAATAGGTGCGGTTGAGGCAGGAATCTGGGATTCGTTAATCGTATCTTTGGTAGAACAGTTTCAGACGATTCCAGCGGAATTGCTGAAACATCGACTGCATTAACAAAACTGTTATCGGCACGAAACACGCAGGGTCATTTGAAGGGATATCTTGAAGGCATTGAAATAAACCACTTGCCCACTCATGACTGGATCCATATGCGCTATCGACAGCCCCTAGAGCAAATTACCGAAGGTTGCACAAGCGATGAGATAAGTATTCTCTCGCTCTCGCTTTTGATAGTGTGAAATTCCGCGGCTCTGGATCACTATGATTCGGACATAAAGCTATACCTCGAGAATGGTTTCCACTCGGTTCCTATATCTGGCGATTGGAAAACCAAAGGCGCGTGCTCGCCGAAATTGAAGAGTCCATATCTGCATACGGAGACCAATCGCCTTTTGTGAAAGCTGGCATATTCGGCAACAATGCTGGTCAATGTTTGGGAATCCTTGAGCGATTTAAAGAATTTACTCCAAGAGTCGCTTTGCAGATGGGAATCTGGTAATTAGAAGGTGCGTAAGGAGACGCAGAAATTGAGATTTACGAAGATGCATGGGGCTGGGAACGATTATGTTTATGTTGACGCGCGGGGGCAGGAACGGGACTGGCCGGCGCTGTCGGTTGCGATGAGCGATCGGCACCTTGGTGTCGGGTCGGACGGGCTGATACTGGCGCTGCCGTCGGAGAAGGCGGACCTGCGGATGCGGATGTTCAACGCGGACGGGTCTGAGGGGGAGATGTGCGGCAACGGGATTCGCTGTCTCGTGAGCTTCGCGTTCGACAACGGAATCGTCGCGGCGGAGAAGTCGCAGGTGCTGGTGGAGACTATGGCGGGCGTGCTGGATGTAACGCCGCTGCGTGATGACGGGCAGGGGATGGTCGGCGCGCGCGTGCTGATGGGCGAGCCGCGCCTGAATCCGCCGGATGTGCCCGTGGCGATAGAGGGCATGGATGCGGTGATAGACGAGCCGCTGAAGGTCGCTGGGCATTCATTCCGCATGACCTGCGTGTCGATGGGTAATCCGCACGCGGTGGTGTTCATGGACGAGCCGGTGGACGAGTTCCCGCTGACGGAGATCGGGCCAATTGTGGAGCATCACCCGCTGTTTCCGGCGCGGGTGAACTTCGAGATAGCGAATGTGCTGGATGGCGGCAGGACTATCAGGACGCGAGTATGGGAGCGAGGGTCGGGCATCACGATGGCGTGCGGCACGGGTGCGTGCGCGGTGCAGGTGGCGGCGCGGCTAAACGGGCTTGCGGGCGACAGGGCGACGATCGCGCTGCCGGGCGGCGACCTGACGGTCGAGTGGCCGGGCGAGGGCGAGGTCGTGCTGGAGGGGCCGGTAGCGACGGTGTTCGACGGGGAGTGGGTGGAGTAGTCGGGGGCTAACAGGATTTACAGGATGGATAGGATGAGCCCGGAGGAATCGTCGGCGTATGCTATGCTCGCTCTGTAAGGGATGTGGCTGAGCGAATGATAATGCGGGCTGCTGTAAGCGAAATGTACAAGCTATGGCGACCACACGAGAGACGACAGGCACAGAGAGCGGGAAAGCCACGGAGCAGGGCGGATCTGGAGGAACTGTTCAATTCGCCCGCGATTCAGGCACTCGTTAATGAAAGTCGGGAGCAGGTTGATCGCGGCGAGTGCATAAGGATACCAATCTCCGAAATCAAGCGGAGAATGCGTATTGATTGACGATCACATACCAGAGCTACTGCTGTCTGCAAGCGTTGATTCCGCATTGAGGGACTTGGGGATATTTGCTTGGCGCATTCTGTTTCCCATTCTTCTCGATCCTGAACCCGACAACGAGTACAAGCATCAGATCTCCAGCCTTTCAGGCACGATAGCATTCTCAGATGGCGAGTGGCTCGCATCCTATAAGATGCTCGATAACGGTGATGTGCAAGTCGATTTCATAATACGCGACTCAGACGCTCTGTAACGCCGCTCACTAAGCCCCGTGAACCACGGGGTTTATTCTTGCCAGAGTTTATTGCTAAGTCTGCGTACCTTATGACGTTTCTGCTATCATGTGCCAATTGATCCCAATTGACGCATTCGGGAAAAAGAACAGTTTGCAATCGTTGATGGAGATAAGATGAAATTTGCCAGCCGCATAGAGAAGGTTCCGCCGTATCTGTTCGTGGGGATAAGCCGAAAGATAGCGGAGAAGAGGGCGCAGGGGATAGATGTCATCAGCTTCGGCATCGGGGATCCGGACATTCCCACGCCGGACAATGTAGTCGAGAAGCTGCGGGAGACGGCGCTCGACAGCCCGAATCACCGCTATCCTGAGACGGACGGATTGCCCGAGTTTCGGCAGGCAGTGGCGGACTGGTACCAGCGCAGGTTTGGCATATCGGTTCATCCGGACAAGGAGACTCTGCCGCTCATCGGGGCGAAAGAGGGGATAGGTCACGCGGCGCTCTGCTTCATCGAGCCGGGCGACATCGCGCTTGTGCCGGACCCCGGCTATCCGTGTATTCGGTGGGCACATGGTTCGCGGGCGGCGAGTGCCACTGGATGCCGCTGCTGGAGGAGAACGGCTGGATGCCGACCTCGACGCCATACCGGACGATGTCGCGGACAAGGCGACGGTGATGTGGCTGAACTACCCGAACAACCCGACGGGCGCGATCGCGGACGCCGACTACTTCGCCAAGGTTGTGGAATTCGCCAAGGCGCACGACATCGCCGTGATGCACGACGCATCGTACTCGGAGGTGGCGTTCGACGGCTACCGTCCCATCAGTTTCCTGGAGACGCCGGGCGCGATAGACGTGGGCGTGGAGTTTCACTCGCTGTCCAAGAGCTACAACATGACAGGCTGGCGGCTCGGCATGGCAGTGGGCAACGAAGACATCATCAGCGCGCTGATGGTCATCAAGTCGAACCTAGACTCCGGCGTGCCGAACGCCATCCAGTACATGGGAATGGAGGCGATGGAACTGTCGCAGAACGCGATAGACGAGCGCAACGCCATCTACGAACATCGGCGCGACCGCGTAGTGCAAACGCTGCGTGACATCGGGCTGGACGCCATCCCGCCCAAGGCAAGCCTGTATGTTTGGACGCGCATACCGGAAGGGTTCACATCGGCGGAGTTTACGGCGCTGCTGCTGGACGAGGCGGACATCGTCGTCACGCCCGGCAACGGCTACGGGGAGTACGGCGAGGGTTACATAAGGCTCTCGCTGACCATCAATGACGAAGACATGGAGAAGGGGCTGGCGCGGCTTTCGGAGTGGCAGATTCCGTCTAAAGATTAGCGTTGATGGAAGGTATTGAGGGGATCGATCACCGCTTCCTAATCTTCCCCTGTAGAGGGCAGTTACCTTGCGGAATGAGGAGGAAAATATCGCTAAGCGAATGAAATCGACACGGCCAAGACTAGAGCGCGCGGTCCTAGTGGGCGTAGAACTGAAGCGCAGGCGCGGCCTGTGGGGGCTGGAGGAATCGCTCACCGAGCTTGCGGAGCTTGCGAGAAGCGCGCGCGCCATAGTCGTAGCTACAGTGACGCAGCGCATGGACAGGCCGACGCAGACATATCTGGGCAAGGGCAAGCTGGAAGAACTGAAAGGGCTCCTCTATGCGAAGCGTGCGAGCACCGTTATCTGCGACGACGAGCTGACACCCACGCAGCAGCGCAACCTCGAAAAGGAACTAGGCGGCGCGAAAGTCATAGACCGAACCGCGCTGATCCTGGATGTGTTCGCACAGCGGGCGCGCACCAAGGACGGACGCCTGCAGGTGGAGTTAGCGCAGCACGAATATCTGCTGCCGAGGCTTGCCGGACAGTGGACGCACCTAGAGCGTCTGGGTGGTGGCATAGGCACTCGCGGACCAGGAGAGACGCAGATCGAGACCGACCGGAGGCTCGTGCGGCAGCGCATACAGAAGCTCAAGCGCGACCTCGAAGATGTGCGGCGGCACCGGGCGAGGTACAGGGCGCGGCGCATCGAGATGGAGGTGCCAGTTGTGTCGCTTGTGGGCTATACCAATGCCGGCAAAAGCTCACTGCTGAACCGGCTAACGAATGCCGATGTGATGGCGGAGAACCTGTTGTTCTCCACACTTGACCCGATAACGCGGCGAATCAAGACGCCGGCGGGGCGCGATGTACTACTGACCGACACCGTGGGATTTATACAGAAGTTGCCGACTGCTGTGGTTGCCGCATTCCGCGCGACACTCGAAGAGGTGCAGGAATCGACGCTGGTGCTGCATGTGCTGGACATCGCGCATCCGAACGCGGCACAGATGGCGGCCGTCGTCGAAGGCATCCTCAAGGATTTGGGCATTGCAGATAAGCCACGGCTGGTGGCACTTAACAAGGCCGACCTGCTGGACGAAAATGTGGACGCCGAAACGCTAAGCCGCGCGCTGCAACTGGCGGACGGCGAGCTCGGCGGTGTGTTCACATCGGCCGAGACGGGGACAGGACTTGACACGCTGCTGCGCGAGATCGATGACGCGCTGAGTGCAGAGGACGAAGACCGTGAATTGACGGCGGTGCTGGACGGGACATACGGACCACGGCGAATCTGAAATCTCACATGACAATTGCAAATATATAGAGGGATACTCCAACCCCGAGTATCCCTTTTCATTTTATGGGTGGTGATGCGCCTGCTCAGTGTTCGATGGCCTAATGGAACGCGGCTGGCGCTTGTAGGGGAGGGGCATTGTGCGGAATGGAGCGAAATGGGGTGAAGTGAACTCCCGTAAGCGCATGTTCGCACTATAATTCTTATGTAAAGTTATGGGGGGGGGCGCATAGGCTTCTTATTTGACATAACCTATTATAGTTGACATAACTAGCGCGTATGTATTTTGAAGAGTTTTCATACATTGGCTTGTCAGACCAGTCAGCATTTCCTGCACCCGGCGCCGTGAAGCGACATTCGGATTACTGCTCACCACTCTTCATGTCGCGTGCTCCGCATATATGACACTGCACGAATGCGGCAAAGCCACTCCAAGTATGGTCTCTCCGATTGTGGAAGGCAGAAAAATCGCATCGCTCCAGAATCGCCGTAGAGCCTCGATTTTCAATCAAGAGGTATCAGAGTGTCTGAGATCTAGAGAATTACACTTCCCAGTAGGACGGAGAATTCACCGCCGACTTCCTGGCCTTCAAGCAGAAATATTGATTACGCCCGACTTGTGCAGAGCGATAAGTAACTTCAGTCCGGACTCCCCTGGGCACTCTCCGTCGAAGTCAATGTGATTAAGCTCGTTCAGACCGATATTCAACTGTTCGCCACTTTCGTGAAGCAGCACGACACGGTCATCGAACAATACGGACGCAGCGCCAAGCATGCCAATCATCTTATCCCTGGACGACCATGCGTTATCGCCGCTGCGGAAAACAAGAACCGCCGCGTTGGACTCCCGCATAGCCTGAGAGACATCTTGAGGCACGAGCAGGTCTGCATCGCCTTCGGGAATCTGCGGGCTGGCGGTTGATATGCCCAACTCTTCCAGCATCGACGCGACGTATTTAGCCGCATCTGAATCGCCGATTTGCCCGATGAAAAATCCTCTTCTTAGCATCACGAACCGGTTCTCGGTGTGTAGGCGCATCAGGCTGTCGGCCAGTCTGATACGGCGTTGGTAGTTCTGTAGCAACCCTGCCGGGAGCGACAACAGGCTGAACGGCGATATCAGGCTCGGGAAGCCTCACCAGATACTCCCCGTCAACTTCCGAGATGATGCCGGCAAACTCGCCATTGTCTTGCAGAATGCCGAGGCACTCCTCCGCCAGATCCGAGCGAACGCCCAATTGGCGCTGGAGGATACTGTGCAGGTATTCGCTCTGAGGCAGTCTCCTGCCATCCAAAAGCTCATAGAACCCGCCGAAAGTCTCCGGAGTCATAGCCGCTTCGGCAAGTCCACTTATGCGCGCGCCCTCACTGTCTGCCGCAACTATAGTCTCTCCCAAATCCGTGAGCCGAATGTCGGGATCATTGTAGCCGCCCTCCGTCAAGCCGTAGGCTGCTGAGGCGTTCAGACGCATCGTGAACGCGCTACTCTTCGGCGTAGTGCCCAAAGCGCCCGCAAGCAGCTCTCTGTCAAAGGGCAACCCGGCATTCACTTCGTAGATGGCTTTCGCGACACTCACAGAGTCTTGTAGCGTAAAAGACGGATATGGTCTAGTAATCCTAGTGCGCCTGCCAATATCGGATACCTGTGCCATACATTACCTCTTGATTCAAGGTACAAATTCGTGGTCGAAAAGCAACAATAGGCTCACACTTATCAGGCTTGAATATAGCCGTTACAAGACATTCTGTCAATCATCGTTTTCAACGATATGAAGTGCATATAACTGATGTTACAGGCGTTAAGGGCTTTTCAGTCGGCATACTGAAATCTGAAACTCCCGTTTCAGGGGCTTTTCACACTCTGGCATCATATTTCTGTCCATCTATTCCAGAAGGCAGAAGACTTTCAGAATCACTGCTTGTTGCATGTCCTGATCGGCCCTCTTATGTACGGTGAATGGGCGCGTGTTAGAATGAGAACAGCTAGGCACACGCGCAAGAATCGTATTCAAGGTGAACAGAATTGCCATACAATTTCAGTTTCAGGAGTTGGGGCATTGCGGCAGCAAGCGTTGCATTACTCGCCGCTGCCGCCTGTCAGATGGGGGAAGAGACCGAAGTACCCTCAGCGCCCACATCATCAACCAGCCCGGCCGCGACCGTTAGCACACGCCTCTCCAGAGTCTGCCGAACCCGCCCCAGAGGCAACGGCGACTCCAGCATCTTACGCTGGCGCTGCAGCAGCTAAAGAATTGCCCACGCGAGCACCGCGAGAAAACTCAGCGCCTGACGCTCCCCTACTCCCCGAGCTGATACCGCAGGACATGCCTCTGGAAGTACCCGAGGGAGTACCCGAGGAACTTGCAGTTGTATGGCAGGTGTGGTCGATGCTCGCGGCTGAACATGTTGACCGCGCCACATTCGATCCGGAGATATTCACGGAAGCGTCCATAAGAGGAATGCTCGTCGCGCTAAACGACCCGCATACGAACTACGTCGGTCCCCGACGTGTTCGGAATTGAAAACCAAGACATACGGGGACGATTCGAGGGTATCGGCGCGCATGTATCCATGAACGCCGACGGGCGGCTCGTAGTAGTCGCGCCCATCGCCGACAGCCCGGCGGAAAGGGCAGGCATTCGACCTGGCGACATCATCCTGGAGGTGGATGGCGAGAACATTCAAGGCATCAGCATAATTGAGGCCGTGTCGAAAATTCGCGGACCACGCGGCAGCGTCGTCAGACTTTTGGTGCAGCATGTGGGAAGGCCAGAGAAAGTCGTCATCGAAGTTGAGCGCGGCGTCATTCCGCTGCAGAGCGTAATCCTGCGGACCGAGCCGGGTAACAAGGTGGCGCACATCCGCCTGACAAACTTCTACGAGGACACGGCTGACAAACTTGCAGAGGCCATCCGCGATACGATGGAAGCAGGATCAGAGGGCATCGTTCTCGATGTGCGCGACAACCCCGGCGGTCTGCTCAACTCGGTCGTCGATGTAACCAGCCTGTTCCTCGCGGACGGGCTTATCCTTTACGAAATGGATGGCGAAGGACGGCGCAAGGACTGGGTGGTGCGGCGTAACGACGATTTGCTGGAGAATGTCCCAATGGTGATACTCGCGAACCAGTACAGCGCAAGCGCAAGCGAGATTCTCGTCGGCGCCGTTCAGGACCACGGCCGCGCCACCGTTGTGGGCAAGAAGACCTTCGGCAAAGGTAGCGTGAACATACTCCGGCAGTTGGACAACGGCGGCGGGCTGTTCCTCACATTCGCACGCTGGTTCACTCCCGACGGCAGGCTCATTGACCGCAACGGGCTTGATCCTGACATAGAAGTAACGCATGGTGACGCCCAGCAGGAAGACATCAGGCAGCTCGAGAAGGCGATAGAGACATTGGAAGAGGAGATTCACCGCAGCGCACAGTCGAAGATGAGGCCGGCGGCATGAGTACCAAGACAAAGGGGAACACAAAGGAAAAGCAGAGCGGCACAGTCGTAAACAATCGTCGGGCGCGAAGAAACTACGATGTCCTGGACACCGTAGAAGCCGGGCTCGTCCTGACCGGAACCGAGATAAAGGCAATCCGCGAAGGGCGCGTCAACCTCAGCGACGCATACGGCAAACCCGAGGGCGGCGAGCTGTGGCTAGTCAACATGCACATAGCGCAGTACTCCGCAGGCTCCCGCAACAACCACGAGCCAACGCGCCCCCGCAAGCTGCTGCTGCACAAGGACGAGATAATCCGCCTGTCGCGGCAGGTTTCGGAAAGAGGGCTGACACTGGTGCCGATGCGTCTCTACATCAGGCGTCACCGAGCAAAGGTGGAACTTGGAGTGGCAAGAGGACGCAAGCTCTACGACAAGCGGCGCGCCATGATCGAGCGCGAACGCGAACGGGAGGCAATGCAGGCAGTGCGCCGATAAAGGCGCCCTACCCGACCTCGCCACGAGTCGGACGTTGGCATTAATGAGTGAAGGACTCAGAACCACAGCATCGCAGACGTTAACTGCAAAGAGAAGAGCGCCGATTCTCATCGGCGCTCTTTCCTTTACATCTGTGTAATGGTGGTTGGACGGGTTACCCTATCCCACCCGCTTCACTTCCAAGGTCTCACCGGGCGCGAGGGCGACGCGCCTGACGATGATGTCCAGCTTCAACAGCCAGTACCCCAGCGTCGCCTTACTAACTCCGAGGTAGTCAGCGGTGGCGGACAGCCCGTTCTCCGTAACCAACTCAGGCAGGAGTTTCTCAAGCGGCTGATTGAACTTCTCTTCAACTGCCAGCATTTTCTTGGTCTTGCGCCTCATGTGTCTCCTCCTTGGAGTGTGTTTAATGTGTTGGTTGAACCTATTGAACATATATTAGCGTTCCGCCATACAAAGGGTCAATGACTTTTTCAACACTTTTCCACAATTTTCTAGCCGTTTCCATAGCTTTCAACCTTATTCAACTATTTTCAGACTGTTTCTGCGTCACTCAACCGCACGGCGGCGGAGTCGTGTATAATTGGGCGTCATATCAAACGGAGTGCCTCGAGGAGGTGTCGTCCCAGTGATTCAAGAGAGTATCAGGCGCGTGAGGCGCAACCACGCCCTGGAGCACGCCACCGTCACATTGATGCTCGAGGAAGGCGTGCGAGGTCCCCTCGGCGGCTACTCCACACCTTGGGGCTTCTTCATCATCGGAAGCATTTCGACTGAGCAGCTGACACGCGTGATAGACGAGGCGCTTGGAATGCTCAACGAGGGGCAAAGCGAGATGGCGATTTCGCCCCACTGCGGAACGAACATGGCAGTCACCGCACTCATCTCCGGCATGTTGACAAGGCTCGCGCTGGGCAAGCAAAAGCAAGGGCGATGGAAGCGCCTGCCGCTGGTGCTGGGCGCGGTCGTGGTGGGCGCGCTGCTGAGCAAGCCAATAGGCAACGCCATCCAGCGCCGATACACTACCCTATCGGAAATGGACGGGCTACAGATCGAAAGCATATCAAAGGCGTGGCCCGGCGAAGCGCCGAGGCTGCATCGCATAACCACGCGCATGCCTTGAATCGCGGGCCTGCCGCAGGATCGCTTGACCAGCGATATTGGCATTGTTACACTTTATTTATTGCATAGGCTCACATTCATAAGGTACATTGCGTCCCTGTAGCTCAGGTGGATAGAGCAGCTGCCTTCTAAGCAGCGGGTCGCGGGTTCGAATCCTGCCAGGGACGCCATATTCAAATCCGATTCTCTCCCCTCTTCACATCTAACATCCGAGCAATTTGGCGATCTTCTACATATTAGAATATCGTTCCTCTCGTGGCCTTACTCCATAGAGGCCCTTTCACTTCTATTAAGCCTATGGACATATTGTTATATGTACGCGCGGTTCTTGCGGAGCGATGCAACCAACTGTGGTTTGCGATGGACCTAGAGGATCAGCGATTGCCCTTCCTTTAACTGCACTCAATGACAAGAGGGAAAGCAGACTCCTCGCCCAACCTCGTGCTTTTCGCGAGCCGGAAGGACGCATCGCTCGAGATTGCGCGGAGAGCGCCGAATTTAACGCCCGATGTGCAAATATACTTGAACTTCTCTAAAACTTAGGTTGTTCTTGACGCAGATTAAGGTTATTGCTTCTGTTAGACAATCCTCAATCCACCACTGCATCGGCCACGATGAGAGAGCGCCTAATCGCAACGCGAAATATCTGTCAAGGTGATTTTGGCTCTCTATTTTGCGTATTGGATGGGAATCCTCAGTTTTTCGCAGAAATCACAGCGTCGAGGTGAAACAAGCATCGAGGTACATGCTCTTCTCAGTCAAACATGCGGTGCATGATGAGGCCAGCTTCCAATAGACGATTGGGATAGGTATGGGACTATGACACACTTGCGCCATGCATTTATGAGTGCAAGTAAGCAGCCAATCCCCATCAAAGGAAACGCCGCAATTTCGGTGGCCCACGATGCGCAACCACTCCCCTACCCTGCTTTGTTCTCTGTTTAATCGTTTTCCAAGAAAAAGTACATCTTATTGCAGAGACACATCCAACTAACACGCCATTCATCTTCCTAACGGAAAGTACGATTACCCGTCCCCTGTGCAAATGCCCAAGAGCTGCACGGCGCAGCGAGCGGCGGCGAAGCGATGTCGGCTGTGATATATTTGTCGCATGAACGCGGTAGCCAACTGGCAAAAGGCATCGGTACGAGGTGAATCAACATGGCCGAAAGTTTCTCGGAGTCACTGCGGCAAGAGGCGTTGCCCATTTGGGAGAGTATCTTCGCTCACCCATTTCTCGAAGAGATCGAGGCAGCCGAATTGCCGCTGGAAAAGTTCCGCTACTATGTGGAGCAGGACTACCACTATCTTGCCGGGTTTGGGCAGGTAGTCGCGACCGCACTTTCGAAAGCGCCGGACACGCGGACGCTTCGCAGGCTCACGCGGCGCATCACGACTCCGGTGGAGCGACCATTGCATGGCAGGATGTTCGAGCTACTGGAGACGAGCGAAGACGCAGTTGAAACGGTTCCGCTCTCACCCACGAATATGGCATACATCAACCACATGCAGACAGCGGCATCGATGGGCGGAGTCGGCGAAGCGGCTGCCGCGTTGCTGCCCTGTCCGTGGACATACCACGAGATCGGCGAAAGGATCGCCGTGCCCGAGCACCCGGTTTACAGCTACTGGGCACAGCCGTACCGCGACGGCCTGCTTGAAGAAAGCACCGCTGCGTGGCGTGAGCTTGTGGACGAATATGCTGCGAACGGCGGGCCGGCAACACGTGAAGCGATGCGCAGCGCGTTTATTACAAGTTCCCGCTACGAGTTCATGTTCTGGACGATGGCGTACAACAGGAAAGACTGGCCTGTATGATTGCAGGCCGATGCTAACAGGATGGTCAGGGTACGGAAAATTTTCACCCCGACCCAAAGATTCCCCGATCTGCCGGAGAAGTAACAGCAAAGAAAAGGAGGCACCATGAGTCCGAGAATGTACGCGGGCCAAGTTAACGCGCCGGAGTTTCCCGCCGGGCTGGAATGGCTGAACATCGACAAGCCGCTGTCCATGTCGGACCTGCGCGGCAAGGTAGTCGTGCTGGACTTCTGGACATACTGTTGAATCAACTGCATGAATGTATTTCCGCAGTTGCGGAAACTAGAAGAAAAATACGCCGACGAATTGGTCGTAGTAGGAGTGCATTCCGCAAAGTTCGCCGCCGAAAAGGATCACGAGAATGTGCGAAAGGCAGTGCTGCGCTATGAGATTGAGCACCCGGTGGTCAACGACAAGGACTTCCAGGTGTGGCAGCAGTACGGCGCTCGCGCATGGCCCACGCTAATGTTCATCGACCCCGAAGGGAAGTTGCTGGGCAAGCACGAAGGCGAGTTCGCTGTCACGGACCTCGACGGCCTGTTCTCAAAGATGATAGCGGAGTACGACAACAACCAACTCGTCAACCGAACGCCCTTAACCCTAAGCCTAGAGAAGGACAAGGAGTGGGAGCGCGCGCTGTCATTCCCAGGCAAGGTGCTTGCGGACGAGGCGTCCGACAGGCTGTTCATCGCCGACTCCAACCACAACCGGATCGTCGTTACAGACCTGCGCGGAAAGCTGCTCGAAGTCGTCGGAAGCGGCGAGCACGGGCTACGCGACGGGGGCTATTCAGAGGCGCAATTCTACGATCCGCAGGGCATGGCCCTCAGCGGCGATACGCTGTATGTCGCGGACACGAAGAACCACGCACTGCGAGAAATTGATCTAGCGAATCAAAGCGTAAAAACCATCGCGGGGACCGGCGAGCAGGCACGAATGTACCATCGCGGAGGCAACGCGCGATTCGTGCAGCTCAACTCGCCGTGGGACGTGGTCGTGGATGGCATGAATCTGTACATAGCAATGGCTGGTTTTCATCAGCTATGGCGCTACGACCTGCTCACTAAGGAAGCCAACCCATACGCGGGGAATGGGCGCGAGCGCATCACAGACGGCGTCCTTTCCAATGCCGAACTCGCGCAGCCGAGCGGCATCGTGAGCGATGGCGAGAAGCTGTACTTCACGGACAGCGAGACAAGCGCCGTGCGGTCAGCTGACATAAACGGAAAAGGACAGGTTGAGACCATCGTCGGGCTGCATCTGTTTGAGTTCGGCGATGTGGATGGCATCGGTGACGAGGTGCGCCTACAGCATCCCATCGGAATTGAGTTGCACGACGGTGTGCTATACGTCGCGGACACTTACAACAACAAGATAAAGCGCATCTACCCTGCCACTCGCGGGGCGACATCGTACCTCGGCATAGGCACGCCGGGCCATGAGGACGGTGCCGGCGCCTTCGCGCAGTTCCACGAGCCGGCCGGTCTAAGTGTGGCGCGCGGCAAGCTCTACATCGCCGACACGAACAACCACGCCATCCGAGTGGCGGACCTCGAGACGCGCGAAGTGAGCACGCTGGAGATCGAAGGGCTGTAAGGCTGAAATGGAAGGACAGGATTTAGGCAGGATGGGACGGGAAAGCCGATGACGCCGGAGCAGTTTATCGCCAAGTGGCGGCGCAGTCGCGGACAGGAAGCGCGCAGGCGCGCAGGAATGGTTCATAGACCTGTGCCGCGTTGTGGGGCATGGCACGCCCGAACGAACTTGACCCGCAGCAGGAATGGTTCACATTCGAGCGTTCGCTTCGAGAGGTGTCCGGTCGCTGGGACGCGCAGATGTATATAAGCGCGGCTACTTTGCCTGGGAGTTCAAAGGGTTGCACCGCGACCTGAACGAAGCATACGCCCAACTCCAGCGTTACCGTGAGGCGCTCAGAAATCCGCCCATACTGGTAGTGTCCGACTTCCGCAACATCGAAATACATACCAACTTCACTAACAAGGTCTCGGAAGTCTATCGATACCGACTAGAAGACCTGGGTGAACTGGAACCGCTGGACATACTGCGTAAGGTCTTCTTCCAGCCAAGCGAGTTGGAACCGGAAATAACGCCGGACGATGTAACAAGAGAGACCGCCGACATTTTCGCCAACATAGCCGTCTCAATGCGAGAGCGTGGCATAGACTCGCTAGAAGTCGCGCGCTTCCTCAATAGGCTGGTCTTCTGCTTCTTCGCCCCAAGATGTGCGACTGCTGCCCGACCGCATACTTACTGAGCTGTGCGAAAGGTTCAACACCGACCCAACAGAGTTCGACGCCGGGATAGAGGAACTTTTCCGGCGCATGAACGAAGGTGGACGCTTCGGACCTCTGATAATTCCCCACTTCAACGGCGACCTGTTCAAAGACCCTGCCACCGTTTTGATGACGGGAGGCGAACTCGAGAAGCTGGTAGAAGCTACCCTGCCCAATTGGGCGCACATAGACCCATCCATTTTCGGCACACTCTTCGAACGGGTCATAGACCCGGAAAAACAGGGACTCATCGGCGCCGAATACACAACAGAAGCGGACATTCTGACTGTCATCAACCCCGTCATAATGAACCCCTTGCGCGCCGAATGGGTTGAACTTCAGGGCAAGGTAGGGGCGCTCATGCTGTTCGAGGGACAGCGTAACGAAAAGAAGGCGAGCGAATTACTGCGCGAGTTCCAGTCCCGCCTCGCGTCGCTAACGGTGCTAGACCCCGCGTGTGGCAGCGGCAACTTCCTGTATGTCGCGCTGCGCCAGATTCGAGACTTAGAGAAAGATGTCTTACGCGTCGCTGTCGAGCATGGCTTCACGGACTTCACTCCGCAGGTCTCTCCTGAGCAGTTCCTCGGCATCGAACTGGACGACTACGCCAGCGAACTCGCGCGCACATCGCTTTGGATTGGCTATCTGCAATGGTCAATCGAGAACGGCTACCCTTTCCAGCGCGAACCTGTTCTCGGCGCGCTGAACACCATCGAGCGCCGCGACGCCATCCTTGAAAGGGACGAAGACGGCAATCCCGTCGAACCCGAATGGCCCCACGCCGACTACATCGTGGGCAACCCGCCGTTTCTCGGACATTCCCGATTCCGAGAGCAGCTGGGCGACGAATATGCCGATGCGGTCTATTCACTCTACGGCGAGCGGATTCCCAACTCCAGCGACCTGTGCTGCTACTGGTTCGAGAAGGCACGGGCACAGATCGAAGCCGCTAACTTCGTGCGCGCCGGGTTGCTGGCCACACAAACTATCAGGTCTGAATACAGCCGTCCCGTTCTTGAACGCATTAAGCGGAGCGGGGACATATTTCATGTAATATCTGACAGGGAATGGCGAAGCAACGACGCACTACTGCCGCCAGCGTCAACATCTCCATCATTTGCTTCGACCACGGCTGCGAAGAGCGTCGTGTGCTTGACGGCATTGGTACTTCTAATATCAATCCTGACTTGACACGCGGACCCGATTTGACGCAGGCGAAGCGGTTGAAGGAAAACGCCGGAATAAGTTTCATGGGCGTTACAAAGATAGGCGACTTTGAGGTATCAAGGGAGATGGCGGAGACGATGCTCCAACAACCAAATCCACACGGCAAGCCAAACAGGGACGTAATCAAGCGGTGGATGAACGGTAGAGACATCAACCAGACCAGCCGCGACATGTGGATAATCGACTTCGGGATCGACATTTCGGAATATGATGCCGCGTTTTACGAAATGCCTTTCGAGTATGTAGTCGCCAATGTGAAGCCAAGCCGTGAAACTCATCGCGACAGCCGAGCGAGAAAAAATTGGTGGCTGCACGGTCGGTCCAAGAGCTGAAATGCGGAGAGCACTGGCAGAATTATCACGATATATCGCGAACAAGCCAGACTTCCCAGCACAGGATGTTCAGATACATTGATGGAGACGTACTTCCGGAAAATACGGTCATCGTCTTCGCGCAGGATGACGACTACTTCTTCGGTGTTCTGCATAGTCGTTTCCACACGCTTTGGGCATTGGCGATAGGCACACAATTAGAAGATCGCCCGCGCTACACTTCCACAACCTGTTTCGAGACGTTCCCCTTCCCTGTTCCGGACGAATGCCAACGGGCTGTCATCGCGGAGGCGGCGGGCGAGCTGAACCAATTGCGGGAGAACTGCTAATCCGCTGACATGCTGGGAGAGCCGGCGTTGAGTTCACAGGAGAAGCGGCGACGGACGCTCACCAACTTGTACAACGACAATTCGACCTGGCTTCGGAACGCCCACGCCAAGCTCGACGCAGCGGTTGGGGCCGCGCCTGAATCGAGTGGCCACCGATCTATGGACGAGAGTCCTGGATAGGCTGCTGGCGCTGAATCTGGAGCGAGCGGAAGCGGAAAACCAAGACACAAGGACGGAAGATGCCGAATCGGTTGATTGATGAGACCAGCCCGTATCTGTTGCAGCACGCCAACAATCCGGTGGACTGGTATCCGTGGGCGAGGAGGCGCTGGAGCGGGGCGGGCAGACGACTAAGCCTATCCTGCTGAGTGTGGGATATTCGGCGTGCACTGGTGTCATGTGATGGAACGCGAGTCGTTCGAGAATCCGGACATCGCGGCAGCAGATGAACGATCGCTTCGTGAGCTCAAGGTTGACCGCGAGGAGCGTCCTTACAGTCGACTCCATATACATGACTGGCGTTCAGGCGATGACCGGGCACGGCGGATGGCCAGACCGAGCTTCCTGACGCCTGCCGAAGCCCTTTTATCACTGACGGCAACCAACAAACGCACATCACGAGCACACAACAATCCTGTCTGAGGACAGGGGCGGCATGCCGAGCTTCCCGACGCGTTTGCTCGAAGCGATTTCGGACGCATACCAGCAACAACCGAGTGATGTGTCCCTGGCAGCGACACGGTAGCAGCTACCGCCTGGAGCGCATGCGGCAGATGTCTGCCGGGCACAGCAGGGCGTGGAGCCGCTCACAGACGAGGTGATGCGGCTGGCGCTGAGGCAGCAAGGCGGCGATGCGACTCGATGACACGGCACGCGGCTTCGGCTGGCAGCCCAAGTTCCCTCAACAATGACCTATGAGTTCTGCTGGTCACTATCTGCGACCCGAGACGCGGACGCGCTGCACATGGTAGAGCTCACATTGCAGCGCATGGCGATGGTGCGGACTATATAGGACACAGTATTGGCGGCGGCTTTCGAGTTTTCATCGCTATTCGACCGACACAGTCAGGCTCGTACCGCACTTCGCGAAAAGATGCTCTGACGACAACGCGCGGCTTGTGCGCCTCTACTTGCATGCTACCAGATTACGGTACGCAATCCGATGACAGTCGCATCGTGGAGGAGACGCGGGGATATGTGACGCGAGAGAGAATGTGACAGCGCTGAATGTGGGTCCTACTCGGCGGCAGACGCGACAGCGAGGGCGTCGAGGGCAAGTTCTTGTCGTGGCTTCCCCGGGAGATAAACG